GACTCAAACCATCTAGCTCAGAGAACACAACAATACTTAAAAGCAATGTGTCTAGTTTCAAAGTAATGAAAGTATTAACTAAATTATTTTTATTATAATTATACACTAATCAACACAATCTAATCGTTAACTTGGGAAAATACCTTAACTAGACACTTTAATGATAGAATTTCTTATTTAAGCCATCGTAAACGACAATCATTCAATTTTCTTGATAGTATGTAACATGTACTACGAATTGTAAACCAGAACTTCAAGGGTAGAGAAATTCAATGGTTTTCATAATCTATAAGTGTCGATTACTTATTTCCGATAGCACTGAATGAACACTAAGATTAGTCTGTAATGAAAAAAAGCCTACAAATTAAACCAGTAACCTAACAAAATCTTTTCAAATAAATGAAGCAAAGTTATTTGATTCATAAGGATATTAAAACGCACACATAAACAACAAATGAGTAATGAATTCAGAAGATGAAAATAAAGCACTACTTAATTATTACAAGTGAGTGAGAAAACGAAACATACGTAATGAATTATGTACAAATTATTTAATCATAGTGGGAATAACAATTACCAATCAAACTTGATCAAATTTTACTTAGAACTGATAACTATTGGGACTAATAAAACAATGATGACAATATTCATTACAGGAATACGATAATAAAATAATAATAATAATAATAATAGTGTTACAAGACAACAGAAAACTATAATCTGATCACACCCATTTGGGAATGAGTGAAAAATCTCTTTTTGGTCAGTTGAGTAAGGTAAAAAAACAAGTTACTAAAAACTTATGCAGATAGGTAACGTTAAATAAGTATAATTATAAACAATATTGTCACCTCCCCTGTAATAATCTAACTTCTATCTTTGAACGCGAATGGAGATTGATCATAATAAGAGTACCTTCTGAATCTTAAATTAGTTGGATTGAGTGACATTGATTGTAGCCTACAAAGGGTATAGTATTAGGGGTAATGTCACTGATGTACTACGTCGGAGAAATTGAATTTCCAAATACTCTCCATAAGACTCAACATATATCTGGAGTTGTTAACTGATACTTTATCTAATTCACAGACCATTAAGAGGCATTTTACTTCTGATCCTTTACAAAAGGCTCAATTGTCACAGTAAATGTTTAAATTAAGCTCCTATTTGATGACTCAAGTTGTGATTTGTGTCCATTAAATTTCGCAACCTTTATTTAGACCTCGTAAATTTTTCCGCCTTAAACCAAGTTTACAAAGATTATAGGTAAACTTTAATATCTTTTGAAAACGGTGTTGTATACCCTCAAAACTAGACGGTTTAATTGTCAACTTTCCTTGTAGAAGTGAGAATTTTAGTTATTCCACTAGTATTATATCAGTTCGTTCAACATTTTAAGACTGATATTTTAGGCATTTAAGTACCAATCTACGGATAGTTCTACTAAATATTTTTTATACGAATACTTATTAATATTAGAACGAATAGTTTAATAAAAATTAGTTACCGAGTATTATGTTTTTTTTGAAAAAAAATATAAATACGAAGGTCATGGTAATGGACTCTTACAACACTTATTCACTGAACAAATGAAATGTTATTATTATGTACAATTCCAAAATAAAGCATACAAAAACAACATTGCATTGTTGTATAACAGAATGTATAATTAAATAGTAGTTGACAAAACAATTATTGAATTGATCGGGTAGTTATGCAATTTTATCAAACATACATGGTTACTTTCTTATTGTGTTTTCATTCAAAAAATTAAAAAAAAATTTAGTTACATACTTAACCGTTCATAATACAACGAGGCTGGAGATTTAAATTAGAAAAAATAATTTTATACGTTCAAAATGTATCACATTTAATCTCATATAGAATTCTTTCGTATTAGATTATGGAATATATGAAATTGATTATTAATCTTGTGATAGTTGAATACATAATTCTGATTATAGGCGGAGATAATAAATGGCTAACAGTGGAATCCAGGACGTGAGTTTTGTCCTATTTAGGACTCGATAACTGGATGTACCTGCAGATAGTGGTTATATAGACTTAGTAGATAGGTGGATAACTCGATAACGCTGAAAACGCACGGTACTAGGTTCGAATACTGGTATGCAGATACATCCTACCGATGAGTCCTGAATAGGAGGAAACATGAGTCCTGGATTTCACTTCTAGTCACTATACATCTGCTTATAATGCTTGTGACTTAAGGTAATCAGCACGGGATGTATATATGCAAATGATAAACTGATCAATTTCAGTTCTACACGTCAGTCGGAAGAGTTAAATTACCAATACACGAAGAAAAAATTGGTTTGCAGTTATTGAGTTCTAAGTTCTACCTATTTCAGTTTGGATAGAGGTCTAGTATTTGGAAAACATGCTCTCACGGTGTTAAATACCCATTTACCTGGGTTTCAAGCCACACTCTAGGTACTCGAGCTAGTGATACTATCCCGCTGATCCAACTCAATCTAGGATTTAGTGGCTGAAGGTAGGACACCTAGAAACCGTTGAGCCACCATTCGAGAACAGAGCTCGTAGTGTTAGCTTCCAGATTATTAATTTACGACACGCACCTTATGTGTGATGTTTACATGTTGTTGTTGGTTCATGAGATTTTACCTCCAGTTTTTAAATTTTTTTAATGATATGACCTATCTTTGTAAGGATAAGTGATCCTTACATAACTACATATATTACTTCGAAAAGTGGAAATTATGCTTTTCGATGTCAGAAAACTAAAGTGAATCGAGTACATATTTCGTTTAACAGCTAACGAAAATGGAATTTCGGCCTCTAACGCAAGGATTAAAAGTTAAGATTAAGCCACTTCTTTGACATTATCTTTTGAAGAAGAGTGTGTCTGAGAAATCTACTAATTTTTTGAAGGTCCTATATACAAATACCTCAGGTAGAGTGACGGCATACAATCGCCTCTCCTTATTTCTCCATTCAAGTGATGAGGTTATATAGGGTTGTCAAATTCCACCATTCATTTGCAACTTTTAACCACGAAGATATTCTAGAAAGGCTCCTGATAAAAGTAGGTGAGGGTTGTGTGGACCAGCTCGCTGGAGAAAGATTTTTTAACCTTGAGTATGCAAATATTGTTTTACTGTATAATTATACTCAAGTTGTCTAATTCACACTTAATCAGCTAACAATCAATGCCAGTATGGCATGTACTTAGCACCTCCTAAAAAATACATCTACATGACTAGCAAGAGCTTGTGCCTGAGCTCACTCTTGGTGATGAGCCATTAGAAGTAGCCGGAAGTGTGAGTATTTATGGTGGCGTGAGTGGCAAGATCACTTTATGTATGGTGAAGACCGGAGATGTTTAAAGAAATTTGTTACATTTGGCGCTAACGTGGTATTAGTTTTTTTGAGAAAGATCGGGTTAACAATGCCTTGACGAGAAAGGTTTTGGTCTATGCTTGTGAAACATATTCTCTCCAAGTTGAGAATGTTCGGAAACTCTCTGTAGTTAATCATCGTTATCTCCGAAAGATTGCTGACGTTCGATTTCAAGATCATGTTAGTAGTGCAGAGATTCGGTAACGTGTGTCCGGGGACAGTGATAATAATTGGTATCGATGGCGATCGTATTGTAATTTTCTTTTACTTCATAAAAATGAGACAATCCGCACAGCCCACACTGACCAAATTTCAGTCAAAAATATCAAGAACGTTATCATTCAGATGATTTCAAATTGAGATAAACAGGTCACACCAAAATCTATCTTTAAGGCCTAATTGGTCTACCATATATACATAAATAGATAACAATGTCTATATTTCACTGAGTAATGTTGGTCCACTTTGAAGGTAAGTTTCTTAACGTTCTAACATGGAGACATGTTAAATTTAACCAAGCCGAAAACAATTCATTGTATGATAATCGCGTAAACGAAAACCCACAAAGTATTTACACAAAGAACTGCTGAGAAATCTCAACCAATTATTTAGTTAGAATAATGAACTAAGACATGATATTATCAAAAATATCTGATCACATATAAACTTGTTAAGAACATTTATATACTAAAAATTAAAGGTCAACTAGACGAATAGATGATAAGAGGAAACATGGTTAATAGAGAAAATAATGTTGAAAACAATATGAAACACCAGGCTGAATAATAAAACTATAATATCAAGGTAGGTTCAGGGTGAGAACAAACTGTTTTTGAATGCATAAGTAGGTTTTGACTTTTCATATGACCAAGGCTTCAATAAACCTTAGTAAATGCCCTGAAAAATTTTGTACAAAATCAAAAAGACTGAGTTATGATAAACCTTATGACTTATTTCTACTGTGTTCAACAATAGAGGAAGATGAATGTTTATTATCTGCTCTTATTGGATTAACTGATTATTTGTTTCTGAAACCACTTTGGCATGCGTTCAGGCGCTCTAACTTACGGATCACGATTAATCCCCCTTATGTATATGCGACCACAGACAAACAAATAGGAACCGATAAACACAGTAGGATGTGGCGCAATCATTTACATGCCATTTACATCTTCGCTGAAGCATGAACCTTGCTTCTTTTTTTTAACAAAAATTATCTTTGAGCAGATAAATTATATTTATGATGTTACGTGACTTAATGTTACACAATACATTTACTTACAACTGAATTAAGCCTTCGTTTCAGCACAAGGCCATTTGACTAACTTCTGAATGGTAGGGTAATGTAGACAGGAATTTTTGATGTCAAAAGTGTAATAGGTCTCACTAGTGTTTTTCCACTGAACTGATAACAATCGATAACAAAAAGTGCCATTATAATTAAAACGAAGCATGAACGAAAGTATCCATACAGAAACTGATGAACAGATAACTCTTTTAGCCTAGTTTAATACTCCACAGTAATGAGCACAAGCCAACTTCGCCAGTTAGTAAAGTTTTATATCTACAAACCGCCTATTTCAACAACACATTATTAACAAAACAAAACGGAAGAAGCTTACCTTAAATATTTTATCCAGTTTTACGAACACTGAACAAAGGCATTCGGAATGTTTGCTAAATCCTTCAGTATTATTAGTACTAATAAATTTGCCTTGAATAAAAACCAAGAATAATTAACATAAAAGTAGTTTCAAATAGAAATGCAACTTTTCAATAATCCTATTCCTGAGAAACAATTTAGGGTTATAATAAGTGATAACTTTTATCGATGATGACTTTCATCTGAAAAGCCAAAATAAATCAAGAACACTGTTTCAGCCTAATTTGATGCTCTTCGGAAGTGCTACTGATGAGAGGCTTGTTTCCTAGGTTGAACGATGGGAACGATTCTGTTACATGTATTGTATCACACTCACTAGCTATATACCCAGCACAATGTTTTATCTTTAATATGTTAAACTAATTCGGATCGAGGACACGTTATCGGACATACTAAAACATACACTACAACGATAATTAACAAGTTTACGAAACTATATACGGGAATACGCACAAATGTCTATCCATGTTCATTAGTCAGTTACAGCTTACTATGACTGAACACAAATCAACTGAGTTAAACTAGATTGAGTCTGCAACACATTAGCCTAGCTATCTAGTAGCTCTCAAGTGAGGTAATCAATGGTTTATTAGATAAGGTCAGTCTGTGAATGGTTATTAGAAACTTTTTCAAGGACCAGATTGCCAGGCGAAACGTTGCATTTACTTCAAATTCTTTCGCTGATATTTTACAAATACGTCCTCCCTTTTTAATATCCCACATCAACTCGGCGCCCAAATACTGTGAAACCATTCGATCAAATCTAGACGAAAGTTCTTAAATATCTCTATTGTTATGAGCTTTCATAATTAGAGACAATAATTTAAAAACATTGAATTTCATATAGGAATCGAATAGACAAAAGAATGAGTTTTCAAATATCAAAGAAAACTATATGGATGAAAGCAATTCATGGCTTGTTTAATTCATAGGGCTGTATTCATAGAATAACAGACAACTCAAGTGACTATAACTTCCAAAGACCATTGTTTGTAATCAAATGTTTGGTAATTTCTGAATTTTATTAGAAATACGATACAATTTTCATTATTATTTTCAGTATTACGAATAATTAGGTTGTTGTAAAATTACATATGAAATCATCTTTCATAGTTGATTGTAATATATTACTCGTATTGAAAATAAACGAAGCTATACAAAATATAACTAATTTCAAATTAACCTGAACAACCTTGATGAGGGTGGATATTTCATTATGCTTAACTGAAATTTTGACCTTACTGTAAACATTGCAGTTCAGTAGGCTAGTGAATTCAGTTCAATAATTTCTAGTCTTCAAAATATATATATTTGTGTATGGGCTGTGATACTGCCCAGGTATCCAGACAGAAGCAGGCGGTTTTCTTAGGGGGCCACACCCCGAGCCTTTGACCTAAAGGTCTGATCCACAAGGCTGTGGACTTCCCTGGCAGAGGCTGTATACGCATGGCCGTGTGAGAGCATTTCGAGAGGGAGGGCGGGCCCACCCCACTCTCGGCCATACCAGCGCTTTCGGGGGCGGAGAGGTGGTCAGTGTATGACATGGTGTCGTGGTACAAAAGAAAGCTGCAAAGGGCTGGCTTCTGTTGCTCCTTCATGACTCCCTGGCTGGGGTCCGAGAGATGGTGCAACACAGTGTCTAAAGACGTTATCAGATATGGCTCAGAATAGAAGCCAGCGGCGATCCTGCTGTAACCTTCTCTTACTTTCTTCATAAAAAAATGGTTGTTCCTTCCCTAGATGAAAGATTTCTTCTGGTTGAACCTTCCCGTTTCCCCCATTATTATTATTATTATTATTACACTACCTTACACTAATCTGTTCGTTATTGTTCTTTTTTCTCTCTTCGAATTCTCATTGTTTTGTGTGGCGCATATATATTTGGTGCCCTGTTGTACCAATATTTATGTGTTCAAATAAATAAATAAGTCTTTAAAATAAAGCGTACTTTTAGTTGTTTAACATTTGTCAAGTAAACAATCTAACTAATTCAAGAACAATTTCTTTGTCTTATGGACTAGTAGCTTAAGTTGAGTTAAATCATTTCAAGTAAAAGAAAAATACATGACGAAGTCATTTGTACAGTAAGAATTGTAAAGAGTTATAATTTTGAGGTGAAAAAATTTGTTATTTAATCAGTTAGTTGCATATTCTAAACTTACTTCACCTACCTATGGTTTATTACATCTAGTTGGTATTAGTACTAGTCCTTACGGCAAGACTTGTAACTTAAAATGGAGTATATCAATCAATGTACTTGATTAATGGTATGCACATTGAAATTTTGTAGACTTTGGTATTGCACCCAAATGCCTTGGTACGGCTGAGAATGGGGAGAGTCAGCTCTCCCTCTCCAACTGCTCTCACATGGCCATTGCCAGAGAAGTCCCACTCATTGCCTTCTCGCAACCTTACTGTCGTTTACGAAATTGAGAGGACAAAAAGCGAATGTCCGGCGCTTTAACCGGGTTAGTGGATATGGAGAATCCACCTAGGGGAGTTGGGAAACCCTAATTCCAAACCAATGGTGTACATGGGTTCCAGGATCTTGAGGTAACAAACGGAGTATGAACCAATCGTTGGTCACAAGCTACCATGGGAATACATCTCCTCACGTTGCTCCACTGCCTTGTGGATCAGACCTGTAGGTCAAAGGCTCCGGGTATGGCCACCCAAAGAAAACCACCTGCTTTGGTTTGTACACTCAGACAGTATCCCAGCCCTCACACAAATCGAATGACTCATATGACACACATCTATTTGGTGCCTCCTTGTACCAGTGTTTATGTGTTTAAATAAATAAATAAACAAGACTTTCATATTGAACAATATGGCTTTTACGAAAAGTTTAAACTCGTCTTCATATTGTAAATAAGGATCAAACATTATAATGCATCAGTAGGAATCTGGAAAAAACAACAACAATCGTGCACAACAGAAGTAATTACATAAACGTATAAGTTATTATTTATACTTACTTATATAATTATTCTCATCATTTCTCATTAAATTTAAATTGTGATGCACATAATTAACATTATAAGATGTAATTAAATTACAAGGTATATATTTTAGATGAATATCTTTGAGTAATACAACACATTGATAACATGTTAGATGATCTAATAAATTGTTGAATACTCTTTGTTTATGATTAGCTTGAATAACTATCATCTAAATGAAATAAACAAATAAAATGAACAATGATTTAAAATTGTGCGACTTAAGAAAGAAGGAGGAGAAGAAGAGAAAAAAACGATTGTTAAAATGATCTAACATTATCCAAAATATAGGTAAAGTAATGACTAATTGAACGAATGAAACGGATTAACAAATATAGGTATCATTGTCTAATAGTACCGTCTTAGAACAGGGTCTAGGTTTACGCGAATGTTTCGAGCATACTTTGATTCTTTGTATGATTTCGAACAAAGAAGAATGGTTTGTTGTTTTAATTTAGTTATATACTAATGAAAATATTAACGTTAACTAAGGTGAATAGCACCAGTCCATTTATTAAGTTGATACTAAATTTTGAATTAAAAAAGTAGATTAGATGAAATTTACAAAAAACTATCAAAATGAATCACTCATTTGTACCGGTTATTTGAATTTTTCACTAGTGTTTAGGACTGTAATTCATCAGTCACTTCTGGTATATGTGAATCTTCTGCGAATTACCACAAGTCACAAGTATTACAAACACAGTTGGATGGTGGATAGCAGTGGAATCAAAGAGAGATGTTTTGTTCTATTTGGGTCTTATCATATGGGTGTATCTGAATCACATCAAGACGATTCATTCAACAGTGAATAGTTTTTAAGGAAAAGGTTGGTAGGACTATAGTTTATGGGCGACCTTTGAGCGACGCTAAAGTGACCTTGGGAATTTCCACCCACTTACACGGGGTAAATGAGGGTTACGAATCAGTGTGAGGAATTAGAATTATGATTTACAGTTGATGGTTAGGGTTAGGAGTTATGTCTATGGTTTTCATCAAGAACTAGCATGAGCTAAAATGCCAAAATATTATTTAGTCAAATGGATGAATGTATTTCGTGCCAAATCCAAGAATTGTATTCCGAAATCTGATTGATTCGTCCATATATTAAAGTTACACAAAAAAGTCTTTACAAAAGTTGTAATTTTAAAGCAGATCTTATTATTTAATTGTAGGTATGCCATGAAGACAAGTTTCAACCACTATAAAACATAGTTTAAGAAGGAATTCCATCCGGATACCTCCAGCCACCTAACACTAAAATATAATGCACCGGATGTCGAGTCATTGAAACTAATGGCCACATTGTAACGTGATATGCAGAATCCGATTAGCATTAAAAAAAACTATAAGAAAAGGACACTGATTATTACTCAGTTATCAATCATTATTTATACTCCAATCTACTGTAGACCCTGAGTATGAAGTGATTGGAAATGACCGAGACTAAATACCCTTTCTTTTTTATTTGATGTTATAATCTGACGATGTTTAATTAGAAACGACTAATCGATCGAGAAAATCAGGTATTGACCTCCAATAATTACAATTCAGCTGACTTGTTTAAGAAACGCGGAGTGTAAAACTGGATGATTTCAGCTAGTTGTAGATTAAGAACAGTACGTCCACAAGTGATTACTGAGTTTTATTGACCATTTAATTGACTAGTAATAAAAACTTTACTTATTAATTCATTGAAATATATTTCGGTGGATAATCTGAATATGAGTAAGTTGGGTTGAGACGATTTCAATAAAACTCAACAATCTCCACAAGCCTATACTGAAAAGTGTCATGTGCTTCTAGAGCAAATTACCGAAATCCTATTGAGAAGGTGTGACCAGTGAAGTTCAACCGTGTCGGGTGTGAAGCAGTTACCTACCGAAGACGATGGAAGATGGTCACGTAAAATCATGGATTGACTGAATTTAGACATTAACAATGTTGGATCGAATTCCTGCGTGTGAGCTCGTGTATAGGCACTTCTGAGGAATTCAACATTGGGACGAAACGGTTGTCCAATGCTTCCATGTTTTCAATAGTGGTCTAAAATTGGTCGGTTCATCATTTCAATGAAACTCAACAATCTTCTCAATCCTATACTGACAAATCAGGAATTGAATAATGTATACCCAGCTATAGATTCTTGAAATATTTACTGAGCAAACAAGTTAAACCAAGTTGTGTAGGATGAGAATTAATGAAAAGATATATTTCTTAAACGCGACATATGGCTTAAACTGACAAAAGTTAAATATGATTCTCAGTATTGTCATAATAAGATGTTACTGGCCATCAACTCATTTTTTTTAAAAAAAAGATGATTTCCAAAATAAGGAATCAACTTAACTAATTCATGATCAGTAAATGATATAGACATAGTCTAAAACAGAATTTTTGTAATCACTATAAATATACTTTTTAATTTGGCTACAAATTCATTTGTTTAGCATAGTTTATTTGGATTTAATGAATTTCACATATTCACAAGACCTAAGATATATATATGACCTTTCCAACTACATAGTTGTTTATATACACTATTTTTTATTCAAAACATCATTTAAATGAATGTACTCTTAATTGGTTGAACACTGTAACGAGTAAATGATGATAACACCTTCTTTTCCATCTTATATTACCTAGAAAGATCAACTCTAAAATAGTAGTAATGATATTTTTTCTATTGTTTTAATCATTAATTAATCTTCTTTTCTTAAAATATGTCAATCCAAAGTTGGAGTAACAAATAGGAATCATAATTACTTTCAGTGTACACAAATCAACAGAATTGTATACTTGTTTTAGTACTAACTAAATAAGGCTGATGAAATTATGAATCGACAATATTAAAGATTAAACATTTTCCCATAAGAATAAAATGAATATTTGAGAAAATATTGAAATGTGTTGAATGCTGATTTGTAATAATTAAGATTCTTTGTTAAATATACCGATTAGATGACCTGGACATCGTAGATGACTTAGCCCTCCCATCGCATACACACGAACAAATGCAGATGAGGACGACTAGTGTAGTAGCAGCCTCTGCATCAGTAGGCCTCAATACACACAAGGAGAAAAGCAAGATCCTCAAATACAACACAGAGGACACAAACTCAATCACACTTGATGGCGAAACTCTGGAAGATGTGGAATCCTTCACATACCTGGGAAGCATCATCGATGAACAAGGAGGATCAGATGCAGACGTAAAGGTGAGGATTGGCAAAGCAAGGGCCACATTCCTTCAATTGAAGAACATATGGAACTCAACTGTCAACAACTATCAACCAATATCAAATTGAGAATCTTCAGTACGAACGTCAAGGCAGTTCTACTGTACGGAGCTGAAACTTCAAGAACTGCAACAACCACCATTAAGAAGGTACAAGTATTTATAATCAATTGTCTACTCAAGATACTTAACATCCATTGACCGGATACCATCAGTAAAAGCCTACTGTGGGAGAGAACAAACCATCTTCCATCTGAAGAGGAAATACGAAACGATGTTGGAATTGAATAGGACAGACTTTACGAGAATCATCAAACTGCATCAGGACACAAGCCCTAAAATGGAATCCTGAAGGGAAGTGGAAAAGAGGAAGGCTGAAGAACACATTGCGTCGGGAAATAGAAGCAGATATGAAAAGGATGAATAACAAGTGGAGAGAGCTAGAAAGGATTGCCTAGGACAGGGTTGGATGGAGAGTGCTGGTGGGTGGTTTATGCTCCTCCACGAGGAGTAACAGGTGTAAGTAAGTGGTTATTTGGCGAGAAATATTAAATTTATATTTCGAAATGAATAGTTAAGCTTATCGAAAACCAAAGAGAAATTTACACTTTATTGATAATAAACTCAGAAATGACATTGTTAAACAATTCAAACCAATAAAATAAATAATACAGTTGTAATATCTCAATGAGTAAAAAGATTAGAATTTTCTGATGTTCCATGACTCAGTGTAAACCACTTCTTCAGAGAATAAATAACCAAATCAAAATTAATCTAAGTTGGATTATTTATTCTCTGAGGAAGCGGCTTACACTGAATCACGAAACATCAGAAATTTCTAATTTTTCTACTCATTAGGATATTTACAATTATATTACTTTTATTTTATTGATAACAATCTACCCAATACTTCATTTATTTGAAATTATCAAATCAAACCTACCAATAGTAATTTTCGATAAAAGAAAAGATCAAAATACAAAGTATGTATATCAAAAACAAATTGTTGCTAATAAAACAGTATTTTGTATTTGCTTAAATTTTCTAAAGTTTTTACTTATATAACTTTTATAAGTAGTACTGATGTGTGGGTATTCAGATAGTCTGACAGCTGTTAGATGAGTTATATATTCCCCTATCCTTATTTTATTATTATTATTATTATTAATAGTTCATTGTTGTTGGATTGTGTCAGGTTTTTGGTGTGGAAATATATATTTAAGTTCTAGTCAGGCTAATCACATGTTCTTGATCATCTGAGTTGTATTGAAGTCTTGTAGAATAGACACTGGGAAGGGAATCTAGTGTAGATATTCATCTAACATAAATTAACATCCCATACGTGTAGATGAAGTAAAAGCCGAGCATTATAACAAATACTGCTTAGAGTAATTTCACACTCAATATTTTCATGATAAAAAATGGAACAAAAAAATCAATTGAACTAAACCTATAATATTGATTTACTTTAGTGATTACATTAACTTACATTGATAATTAAAAGATTTTGATCAGTATTTTAATATATAAAACTGGATATTCTAGTCTTTATGATAAATGAATATGATTTCATTATGAATGGTATTCAATAAATAAGAGTTTTAATTCATAAGTAGATGGATACAAAAGTTAGATTGATTAGAATGTTATCACTAAATGAACAATTAAAGAAATTTACACTTGAATCAATCAATGAATTGTATTTTTTTGTATAACAGAAATAATAAGTATCAGAATGGGTTTTGTGGAGATTTTAGAAATTTCACAGATTGAAATCATGAGTCAGTTGAAGCTAGACCACCATTGAAAACCTGGAAGCACTGGACGGCCGTGAAATTTCTAAAATCTCCACAAAACCCATTCTGATAATAATAATCAACTGCTCACTAGTGACTGACTTCAGGAAAAACTCCCGAAGTTCTAGTGAGAAGCCGTTACCAGTGGAGTTCAACCAGGTCTGTTGTGAGATAAGAACTCACTGAAGACAATGGTGTACGGTGGCGCAACTTCGTGGATTGGTTGAAGTTAGACATTAACACCGTTGGATGCCGGCTCAGTGGTCTAATGGTTAAGTGCTCGCGCGCGAAGCCAGTAGGTCCTGGGTTCGAGCCCCGCGTGGTGCGGGATCGTGGATGCGCACTGCTGAGGAGTCCCATACTAGGACGAAACGGCCGTCCAGGTTTTCAATGGTGGTCTAGCTTCAACTGACTCATGATTTCAATCTGAGAAATAATAAGTTTTAATGTTCAATTCATTTTTGTATCAGTTGTTTAAATCTTCTCATTGATTTAAAGCAATTAGTCCCTTTGAGAAATTTCGATAATGTAATAAGAAGAAGACGAAGATTATCAGAACTATGTGATGATGATATATTAGCGCAATACATTTCGAACAATCTGATTACACACTATATACTTGTTAAGAACATTTATATATATAAAAATAAAAGGTCAACTAGACTGGAAATGGGGTAAGAGAAGACAAGAATAATAATAATAATGTGAGCACAATTTGAAACCCAATCACTCTGGACTTATAATCCAATATTACCAGGGTAGCTTTAAGGTGAGAACAAACTGTTTTTGAATACATAAAGGGGGTTTGAATTTTCGTATGACTAAGGCTTCAATAAACCTTAGTATACTCCCTTTTACACTTTTATACAACACCAGTCTAGTTGACCTTTTATTTTTATATACAAATGTTCTTAACATGTATATTATGTATGATCAGATTGTTCGAAATGTATTGCGCTAATATATCATCACATACTTCTGATGATCTCCATGTTCTTATTACATTATCGAAACTTCCCATTGATGTTTAGGATTGCAATTGACCAGTCTGTTATTGGCATATATGCATACTGTACGTATTGACTCGATATTGCTTTAATTCACAAGCATCATAAGCAAAGATGGATAGTGACTAGTAGTGAAATTCAGGATACGCGTTTCGTCCTATTTGGGACTTGTTAACTGGATGTTCGTGTTTTAATAATATTTTTTCAAATGTATAATATATTCCCTTAAAAGTTTATGTTTATCTATGCTTTACGAAATCACTTCATAATTTAATAATATTAGAGAAGAAAATTCTATTTTCGATGGAATCATTTACTTAAGCTGTACATTTTTATTTGTATGATAAATATAGGTCTATAGAAAAGATTGTACCATAAAGTGCATATCGATATGCATTTATAAATTTACTTGTTCCAGTGGAGCAGGTTATATTGGCCGCACAAAGCAATCACTTTCCAAACGCATTTCATAACATTAATCAACGTAACTTTTAAAAGAAGAATGCAAAACAATCACCAGTTAAATACAGGAGCACTTAATCGACTCTGAACACTTCGCTTCAAAGGAATTTACCTTCAAAATAATCTATGCAATCAATGAACCTGGGTCGAAGGAAGGTCAAATCAAAAACTTATTCATTGCTGAGGAGTTGGCGATCAACCAGTTCAAGTCCAAACTCTGCATGTAAAAACGATACGTCCAACCTCTAATTCTTCTTTGACCCGATTCCATTCTGTACGATGTATTAGTCTTGCTTATTTTAAATTATTGTTTTGTAATTTTAAACTGTAATCTGTTATTATTATCCTTTAACAATTTTTTCCATAATTATTATTCAGCTATTGTTATGACCTTTATGTTGTTTCCACTTTTCTTCATATTTGTCAAGCGGACATTTTTATCTTTCATGATTCTAACCCGTAAATTATTTTTATCCTTCCATTGTTCTCCAACCTCGATTGATATTTGAAGTCTCGGACCACTTTATGATGCAATCTTTTCTATCCTTCTGTAGACATATATTTACCATTGAACTATAAATACGAATGCACAATTTAAGTAAATGATTTCGTCGAAAAAGAAATTTTCTTCGCTGAATTTCTTATTCAATGACATAATGGGTCATTTTATTTTACTTGTAATGATCCAGTGGATAGAAAATTAAATTTCTGATGTTTAGCGACTTCTTCAGAGAGTAAATACCGACTATTCACACCTACTTAGATATACCTGAATGTACACTCACATATTGTCTCACCTTTAACCTAGATAATATGACACCAATATGATACGAATCATTTGGGCTGTATCGAATAGTTTATTTTGTTGCTCTATACTATTTAAACTTGAATTGATTTGACAACTCCTCTCTGAAGAAGTAACTTATACTAGGTTGGGAACACTAAAAATTTAATTTTCTGACCATTGAGATTTAACAAACGTATCATTTGTTTATTATGACCCTAGTTTGTGTCTGTGGAAACTTCTTCGACACTACGGCGTGCCTCAGAAGATAGTCAATATCATACAGAACTCATATGATGGATTACACTGCAAAATTGTGCATGGAGGACAGTTGAGAAAGTCGTTCGAAGTGAAGACCGGGGTTAGGCAAGGTTGCCTACTCTCACCCTTTCTCGTTCTCCTGGTGATCGACTGGATCATGAAGACGTCAACGTCTGAAGGAAAGCACGGGATACAATGGACATCTAAGATGCAGTTGGATGATCTAGACTTCGCAGATGATCTGGCCCTTCTATCCCAAACGCAACAACAAATGCAGGAGAAGACGAACAGTGTGGCAGCAGCCTCAGCAGCAATAGGTCTCAATATACACAAAGGGAAGAGCAAGGTTCTCCGATACAACACAGCATGCACCAATCCAGTCACAATTGACAGAGAAGATTTGGAAGATGTAAAAACCTTTACATATTTGGGCAGCATCATTGATGAACAGGGTGGATCTGATGCAGATGTGAAGGCGCGGACCGGCAAAGCATGAGCAGCATATTTACAACTGAGGAACATCTGGAACTCAAAGCAACTGTCAGCCAACACCAAGGTCAGGATTCTCAATACAAATGTCAAGACAGTTCTACTGTATGGGGCAGAGACCTGGAGAACTACGAAAGCCATCATCCAGAAAATACAGGTGTTTATTAACAATTGTCTACGCAAAATACTTCAGATCCATTGGCCGGACACTATTAGCAACAACGTACTGTGGGAGAGAACAAACCAGATCCCAGCGGAGGAAGAAATCAGGAAGAAGCGATGGGAGTGGATAGGACACACATTGAGGAAATCACCGAACTGTGTCACAAGCCAATCCCTCACATAGAATCTTGAAGGCCAAAGGAGAAGAGGTAGACCAAGGAATACATTACTCCGGGAAATGGAGATAGACATGAGAAAAATGAACAAGAATTGGATGGAACTAGAAAGGAAGGCGCAGGACAGAGTGAGTTGGAGAATGCTGGTCGGTATCCTATGCTCCATTAGGAGTAACAGGCGTAAGTAAGTAAGTAAGTAAGTTTGTGTCTGTATTATCAATAAAAATTAAATCCAATACCTGCCATTTTAATTGTTAAAACTTCATTCAATTTATCTTCATTTATCCACTAGATATTAGTTATTCATAACAGAAAGAAACATGAACTAAGGATTAACCTGATTACAAGCCTATTTGAAACTAATAACTTGGTATATGAGATTACAGTAATGAAATTACTTGAAAATATGGTAAGATAACCAGATGTCTAATATGAAAACAAAATCGTAACATTTATGAAAATTCCTAAAATTCACTTACGTCTTTTTTATTGTATATTTCATTTTTATTCTTTAAATCAGAATTAAGACTGATCAATTTCGAACCCAATAAAAACCAGTAAAAATCAGTGATTAGATTCCAAACAATATACAATGTATGCTTCATTCTGTTAAATAGTAAATAATAATTTAAACAAGGTTTTACAATGTTATGAAGATCGAGCAATTAAAGTAACGATTCAAAATATTTTTTAATTAATCATCGGAAATCAGGAAACATGGAACAATACAAATTCATATTTGCTTCCATGATCTACCGGTGAATTTAAAGACAATAGTTTGTAGACGGCATATCGTCTGTATGATATGAATGTCCTTGGTTCAATGTTAAGCGATGTAAGAATTTAAAAATGATACATAGATCTAACTAAGTAAACAGATATGTGAAACATTTAAATATATAAGCAGGTTTTAGTCTGAATAATCTGTCTTCGCAAGAATAGTCTAGAAATGACTAAACAGTGTGTGTAACTAAGGAAAACCTAATTAAATTACAAAAGAGTCGCGTACTGGATTTCTGCTTTACTCCTACACAAGAAAAAATCTGAAAAGCGATTATATATGTAGTTGTATTACTTGAACGGTGTGAAATACAGTTTTAGTAACAAAGTATTTTTCAATAGGAATTAAAAATACAATTGGCTTGAATCAACTTTTTGGAGTGGACACGCTGACATATAGGAGTAAATAATTAGTTTAGAGGGCGTAAGGTGTAATTGATATTTCCCATGTTAAACCTCTAGCTAGAAAACCAAATACAAAAGGAAAATTCACAGTGGGTTTCGTTAGGTAGAGGGGGGAATTTGCAAAACATGAACGAGATTGGTACACTAATTAGGGTAATGTTGTTTGTGTGTGTGTGTGTGTTGAGAAGCCTCTTAGGTCTTGGGCTTTTTACCAATCACCTCTAACACCCTGACTTTCGAAACCATTATGTGATGTATTAATGCAACAAACATGTAAGGATCAGTGAAATACATTTATTTCCACACTGATTATTCAATCAAACTGATACTAATGGCTTATAACTATATTACAAAGTATAACATTCAGTGATTACGGAAGAATAGTCTTTGGTGAACAACTAGCCCATATGTTTGGGAGATCAACTAAAATGAACTATGCAGAAGTTTTAATTCAAATAGTCAAGTTGATCAATAGTTTTATTTGAGAAAAAGAATGTAAACACACTGTTGTTCTTCCATATATCCTAACTTACTTAGAAATATAGCCATCGTACTGTAAATCTATTTCGGAGTTTTTTGTTGTGTTCTTATTTCCATAAAACAAGTTAGGAGAACCACTGTAGTCATCGTACAAATCCAATGCTTCTATCAGGTTTGTATACTGAAGATGAAATCGCCTTTTATTTGAACTAATCACATCGGTTTTAGACTTCTGAAATAGAAATATACAAGACAAAACTTCCAGATACTATCAACTTTGAAAGAAACATGTTATACATTTCCCTATTGTATTTCCCTCCTAATTAATCAGTTAAATGTTAACTTAGTGAGCCGCAACCCACTCACGTCTTCCAAAATATGGAATCCTACTTCATACCCAATCAGTATAAGATTCAGGGTTGAGACGCATTAATAACATCTACACTAGACTGTGAATATATGTTTCCAGAAAAAAATAAGGGGTTCAAGAACAAAGTATTCTATGTATTTAAATAATTGACGTATACTAACTTTGAAGCACTTTTGCCAGACTCTACATTGATTATAGCCAACAGACTGAAAGCAAGCAGTTGTTATTCGGATCCTAAGACAGTAAGTCCACACTTCTATAAACAGTAGATGGATATATAAATGGCAATCTTAGCGTATGCAATGAGAGAAAACCATAAAATTTTCAACTCAACATCCATCTACGATCTTGCTTTAAACTAAACCAAGTATGCTTATCTGTTTATTTTTTTTAAAAATAAACACACTGCGATAGACGATTCGCTTTTAATTTTATGTCGTATAACATTCTCAACCATATATAACGACTGTCGCCCCGGGTTTCAGCAGAGATGTTCGCATACCTCCCTCTACCCACAAAGACTATCCACAACTACTTAGTGGACTTATGCCATGTCTTGGTTTAACCCAAAACAAATATCACATTTAGAACAACATGATCATATTTATATCCTATAAATGTCTGATATTAGATGAAACAACAACTAACTTGGCCAAGTAAACTAGTAATGTACAGTGTATATCACATGTATTCAGTAGGTAGCCAATAGGAAATCTTTGTGTCGAAACTAAATAACAGTGATAATGAAAGTTGTGGTAATAATAATAAGCGGACAACAATATGTTGCAATAGTTTCACTTACTTCATAAAAATAATCTAAATGTAGAGAATTGATTCTTTCTTGAATATTTTCGAAAGAATACATTTGTTCCTGCTGCGCACTATCAAATGATATCACATCACTTATGTTTGTAGTAAAAATGAGTTTGTATGATGATTCAATAATATTCTGCAACATAGCGAGTGACTTTATGAAACTCTGCAGACATTTTTAAACGGAAAAGTGTAACGACAAGTGAAAACATATAAAAAATGGTCGTATATATTAATGGATCAGTATAATACAAAATAAATATATGTAAGGAAAAAAACTTAACCTACTCCTTTGAGTGAAATACTGATAAATATACTAGCTTGTCTGTTAACAATCTAGAGCTATACACCAAGTTTGTATCATAAGTAATACTAATTGGTAAGATTTGTCTTTATTTTGTTGATATTCAGAACTAAATGTATTCTGCACCAATCTTCGTTTTTGCTCTCTTTAAGATTATTCAATCTTTGTTGACACTATAGGCTGCTTGAACGAATCCTTCGATAATGTCCGTGTTTATTAATTGATTACACTTTGACTAGCCGCAATTTCTAGAATGTACTCTACTGTATCTGGAATTCGTCACATGAGAACGTTCCAGTATCCCAATGCTAATGTTCACGTTGAGACTCCAACCAAATGCTAGAGAGTTATTCATTAGACCATAGAGCAACTATTGCCGTCAACATTTTCAAAACATATTATATTTATCACCAGTTGTAAAGGTTTGTGTCATAAACAGTGGGTAGCAGTGGGATTCAGGACGCCTTCTGCGTTCTGTTTTAGATTTCCGTTTTGGATGAATAAGTGGTGATATTAAGACTGATACTCAAGTCTATAGACCCATGTATCGATAGTGACAGATCAAATTTAGCCCAGAATACCGACAATAAGCAGTAAGTTCCGGGTTACAATATCAGTGTGAAAAGCGAAACTGAGATGCGAGTACACTCAACTGACAAATCTCAAATAGGATGAAAGATATATATTGGATTCCACAGTTAGCGACTGCGTTCATAATTACTGAGGCACAGAATAACTGAGAATCGAACTCCATAATCAGCAACCGCGTAATGAAAGTTCTGAATGATAATTTCTCATTCATATATTACTCGTCCTGATAACCATTATAAAATAACTTTCCAATGGTGTATACATTTCAGAAGATAATGTGAAGCAAAGACTACAGTTTATTACTGTACAGCTCAGACCCCAAAGCCATAGGGACACGAGGCGAATACGAACGGATATATGAATGTGGATGAATGAACAGGATTTAAAAAGCACATACATATGAGCAAGCGGATGAATTACTGAACAATTTAAGTAACTGGCTTTTTTGCTAGTAAGAGGAATATGTCCGTAGGCTGTAACCCGTGTTCAAGTATAGATGCAGATAAAAGCATGATAGTTATTATACAAAGATACAGATAAACTATTAATAACCGAATGGCACTATCGGTTACACAAGTTAATTGAAGGACTTAATAAAATCAAAGTATAGAGATTAAAATGTAGGTGAGGTACTATAAACACAGGCTCCATCCGTTATATGGGTGGAGTTGCATACTCTGAACTTGGTGATCTAATCTCGAAGCTTCGATTGTCTTTGTGCACAGGAACATTAACTCAAACTCCAGATAGAAGTGAGTTATTTGGATTTATCGACACATAAATAACAACTTGTTCCTGTCAAGCATGATTTGAATGGATTGTTATTACTGTCTAGAAGAGCAATGAAAGTTTCACAATGAAACCATTCAGGTCAGGGTACACAACTCTAACAAATTGTCTATACTATCCATATGTTTTGATAGTATATAGACGAATACTTTATCTAAGGCCGCAGAATAACAGCAAGATTAAATTGTTAACAGTTCAACTGAGCATAACTAATAGTTTCATTATTTCACGGAAACATAAATGAAGTTGTCATTTGATATATAAACAAATGGGATAACTAATCATATGGACGTATATGCAAGCATTCCTGAGCGTGGATTAGTGCAAAATTTAGTTTTTATTAGCACGTTTCATTGGTAATTATACGGCAATTGACAAACTGTTAAATACGGAATGTCTAAGAAGTCTCACTCAAATAATAGCTAACTAAACGAAATAAATCATCCAGATTCAAACCTAGCGTAACCATCACCGCGATTCGTATATTGTTTAGATAAATCCCCAGTGCGCATCAAAAACGTAGACGATAGATCAGAGATCTCACCTACTAAAAAGCTATCCATAGAACTGATAATAAATATGGTTTAAATTGTGACTTGGACATATATAAAAAAGTGAAATACGTGAAAAAATCATCCAACTGTTTGCCAGTTATAACAAACTAATTACTAAATAAAAGCCACTCCACATCACATACCTCAAAAGAGTTTCCAAAATCACTGGTGTCTTCAATCCAAAAACTAATTTCTTTATACGGACTACTGGTGTACAAAAAGTTTATTATCCATAGTTCAATCTGTCCCAGGATTCTTTGGCAGTAGTCCTGAAATAACTTCAACTGAAAGTTTTCAAACGTGAAAGAGGGCCATATATATAATTCTGGAGAAAGCATGTCAGTGGCACATTTGTTTATTTACTTTAACTCATTTATCAAGCTCATATTTATGCACCTGATGTCTAATACATAGTTTTACTGTTGTAACCTTGTGATACTTATAACATGAACATCTAAACTGGGATAAGTGGAAGAGGACTCAAACTTGCTGCCTGAAAGTTGACAGTCGAGTGTTCATAATAAACGTCTTCGTAAATATTCGGTACTCAATACCTTGGATACGTATTCAATTAATTTTTTAAGATTAAATAATCGAAGTAAATATATAGCAAATGTGATCACTGGATTTTTAATTTGGAATGCTTAAGCCAAAACCTTTTGTCATTAAATTACATGACAATTTTATTCGGTTAATTAAAAAGCAATCATCACAGCAACAAGGAGTTTCCTAAGAAGATAAAAATACACAGTAAGTAACAGATGATGGATAGCGTTTATTTATTTGGATGGATGCTTTCAGTGACGTTGGATGGTTCGGATTTGCCACAGAGTTGGCTAGAGTTTTGAGGTATTTTAGGTCCCAATCACTCACAAGACAGCTGAACCGTACGTTATTTTGTTAGACAATATAAGCGAATTCTCGTCACGTCTCGAGAATACATAATAGATATATGGATTTGAGAAAAAGGTGAGTTAGATGTCAAGCCTTAAAAGCCAACACGAAGAAACTCTCCATTGGCAGTAAGCCTTGAATTTAATATTACTCGAGTCTTTAACATTGCACTGACTTGTTAATGTCGAAAATCAGTCGTTTCAATGAATTACGTCGGTATCTTTGAAAGTTATTATCCTATGATTAATAACCTAAAATGAATTCGTTCCCTTTTCTTCGATTCGCACTTAACAGTTTCTCTCATCTCACGAAAACCCAGGGCAGAGAATAATTTCGGCATTATCTTTTTGCAACACAAGAAGCTTACTACCAGCTGCAACGTAGAAATTTATATACCAGTTTGAGCATTTCGGTAGTATAGTCTATTCTTAACTAATGAGTATATTTGGTAGATTTTTCGGTTCTATATTACTATTTAGTGGAGTTCAAAGGTTGAAAACTGGTTTCCATTAACATTTATCAGTATTTTTTGAAAATAATTCGGAAATGGTTAACAAAGTAGTCCAAATTAGTGTCGTTACAGTCACGAATACCAAACTCACCTCAGTACGAAATGTAAGTACATTTGCCAAACGGAAACCATTCTTGGAATATCTGATGAGAATGTCTAATTTTGAGTGTAAATTGTCGAGGTCGTCAAATATAATTTTTTGGAGATTCATTCACTATCACTCAAAACGTATATCGGTTTTAAGTTACGGCTGAAATAAAGGTTCACCAAATATCCATAGTTATTGAGACAAACAATATTTACGATAATGATAAATACATAAACCGTAACATGATCGTGAGAAAGCGACAGAAGTACAATTAGTCACTAAGTGAACAAAATGAAACTATCGAAATACTCAGTATAACAATATATCACTAGTATTTTACAATTATCAAGTCAGGTTAGCCATACATAGGTAACCGTACGCACAGATATAATATGATTTAAATTGTTCTTTTATGGAGTATTTTTGTGTATAAGGATAATATTTATTCCAAAATGCTAAAGTAAGATATCTCTCAATCGGCCACACATGTTATGTGTCAAATATTAGGGCCATAATTAGCTAGATAAAACCATACCATCTAACATGGTCTTGAGGAGTATCATTGAGCTACTGAATGGTTGATATAGGTTTTTCGAGGAATTGACTTGCATTTGCTACATATGACTATAATTATTGAACTTAAGACTTAGTTAGTTACGTTTGACACTTCGTTTTCACATGAAAATGATGAAATACATGCTTTAAAATGTAATCTAGTAGAGCTCTGGGGGTTATTATGTCTATTAGTGCAAACCACGCACATACTGTATATTTGTGACTGTAAATAGATATGTTAATAAACAAAAAAAAATTGGCACTTGCTAATTAAAGTGCCTACTTGAACATGGGCAATAAACGCCGCGTTTTATGGCTAGTCTGCTTTGAAAAACACCTCATTGACTCACAGGAACGTTCGCAGTTGCTGATCCTATGGTTGGTTAGTTTGTGGTATATGACAGACAATGCCTCGCTGAATAGACCGTTCACATAATTCCTAATAACCGAAGTAACAAACTGAGATTATAACTTTCATGCTCGATATTTTGGGTTTACTAAAGAATATTAAGAAGATCCTGCATTAGAACCAGGTTAGGAAAGAAACTTTACCACAAATGACTGCAACTTCAGTGTGAGAAATTCAGTAATTTAGAAGAGTTCGAGGGGGCCATATCCCTTGCTTTAATAGATCAATTCAGAAAACTTTCCCAGACAGTGTTTCAATCGAAGTTCTATTTTGAATAGTAGCACCAATCAGAACTTCACGGTTGGCAGTAACTTAAAAAATCAACGAGCAGTACAGTAAAGACACTATTTTTTAGGCCTAATTACAATATCAGTATTACTGTAATCTTTTAACGAGTCCAGTAGGAAGCCTTAGTTTCAATTCCAAAACACACGTTAAACAGAGGATTTATAAACTGGCATCCTGATCAAGAAAGCTTGTGCTCAGTCGGATGGTGTTCACTAACACTAACTCAGACTCTATATGGTTCTTGAGAGAAGTTGATCTTGGGTGTTTGTATGAACTAATGATTCCTTAGACCGCCTGATTTTGATTTCCGAATACAATACGTTCGTTCGTATTCACTTAATTTTATTTTTCCTTAGTTACGTTATTTCGGGGATTCTAAGTTCCTATAATAATTCAAATACTTCTAATCATCACATGATCCTAGTAAATACACAGCGATTTTACGGTTAATTTCGAAATTGTCAAGGATTTGGAATGGAATGACTTCGATAAACATTAGGAAGGCCAATTCCTTTAGAATATATGACAGACAAAAGCACATCAAAATGAAACTTAGTGGTGTATATATTTGGCTAAAGGCACAGGCCATGGGTAACAATACAAGACTCATTTAAATCATAAAGTCATTATGGTATGTATAAAAGTTTGGTGAATGTAACCTAAGAGATCCGAGCATATTTGGTTCGTTAGATCACGCTGATGACTTGAAAGTGACTAGTGTTCATCTGGGACATTTCACGAAGATTTCTTCCGGTTAATATATGATAATAAATGTTGGTTGTTATAAAAAATGACAGCAATTGTAACAGAATGACTGAAATGCTCACAGGTACATAAACAGAGGATTAAACCTATGCATTAATGAAGTTTCAAGATTTACCACGTTATATCAACACAAAAACGTAACGTTAGCAGGAGGTAACAACAAGAACGAATAAAACTTTAGTACCAAAGATCAAACAAAGTCAATGAAGGACAGTAGAAATGACTGTTTCTCATATTCAAGCCTTGTAGCATTTTGAATAGTTGACCCAAAAGAGACAATAAGCGGAAAATAAATAGAAGAACGATGACAATCTTAGCAAACATTTTGTTAACCCCTCACTTTCACGGATACAAACGAAATTTGGATAAAAAGTGGATTATTTGAAGTGACTCTGTTAGGAAAATGGATATTTTGGTAATACTGAACGACAAAAGTCGACTATTTGCTTTTGAGGTGAGACTATAATTTATGGACGACCTTTGAGCGACGCCAAAGTGACCACGAGAGTGAACAACTACTAATTAGAACTAAATGAGGGTTATAAAGTAGTTTGAATTCTCATTTACAGTTGATGGTTGGGGTTAAAAATTAGATCCAGAGTTTTCATCAAGGAGTGACATCAGCTATAATGCCAAAACTCTATTTAGCCAAATGTATAGATGAATTCCGCGCCCGAATTCGTGACTTGTTATCTTGTATCTGATTCGTTCGTCCATAAATTATAGTCTCGCCGCTTTTGATTGAAGCTAAAAGGTAGGTGTTTATTTCGGTAACTCTGCTCAAAGAAAGAATTTTGGTATGAATCCTCCCTATTTTCCTCGATTGGCGCAATAGACACGTCGATGTATTTTTGCCGATATCCACAACAAATCCAAGGCATGCAGCCAATATTTACCCTAAACTCCTGCTGTTCGATGGGATGAATAATTCTAAAGTTCGAGTTTTACGAATGACCTCAATGTCCGTCGGGGTTTCTAAACGCATCAAACTATTTGAAAAACACCACTGTTTAGTAAAAATGTATATGGGCATTATCAAACTTACCTAACAAGCGATAACAACTGAAGCACTTGTATCGCGCGGAAGAACGGTGTTCAATGAACACCAATTACAAGTGCGACAGGTAAATATTGTTGTTTCTTCGTTCACATGTCTCGAAATTTATAGAAATTTATGGTGTTATATATTTGTTTATATCTATTTCTTGAGTAAATGATCTGTTCCACATTTGTATATTAACCATAAAGTGACAGATTCAGTCTTCAGTAATAAGGATATTAGGTTGGTAAACCTGTGTTAATCCTGACAGATTGCCTTCCAGTGAAGGTCCAGTTTCTCCTTGAAAATATTCTCTGATGGGGCTGATACCACTTGTTCGGGTAAGGCGTTCCAATCATTGACTACTCGATGTGAAAAACGGGACCCCACTTTAAGTTTATTAGATTTTGGTTTATGAACCTTCTTGCTATGACCTCGGAGATCAATAGTGCATCAGCACACTCTTCCTAGCATTGATTTCTAAGCATCAACCTCGATTCCATCTAACTAAATCGTCTAATCAGCTTGAAGATCCAGATGATCAGCCTCTTTTTCATTGTTCTCCAGATTTTTAGGTCATCCGCAAACAATAATGTCGACGACCTAAGCGACAGCGGTAACTCATTAACGTAGAGAAGGAAGGCTCGCAATAAGTAAGAGAGTCAAGCATAAAGGATTGTTACGAAATTCATGTTGCTCAGAAGCTAACAGATTGTGTGAATCTATGTGGCTAAGCAACCTAACCGGAATTATATTTTGAAGTAACTCAACGACAATGCTAGTTAGACTGACAGGTCGGTAGTTAGATACGATCTGTCTCTGACCATCCTTAAATATAGGACTGACTTTAGTGTCCTTCCAATCTCTAGAGAGTTGAGCAAGTGAAAGGGACATGTTGAATTGCGTCGCCAGCGGTCTAGAAATAATGTCCTCAAGAGATGACAGCAACCGTGGATGTAACCCATCAGGGCCCGGCGTCTTACCAGGTTTGAGGTTAGTTATCAACGGAAGGACAGTTTCCCCAGTCACCTGTACAGATTCCATGGTTGGTATCTCGGTGTGAGTGGGACACGTATTTGTTAAAATAAACGTGGAGTAGACTTCGCTAAAATGGTTTGAAAAAGTCTCAGCTTTTGCCCGATCTGATTCAGCAGTAAATCTGAATTTTCGTGTAACAATAACGGGGGAATAACATCACTGCGTTTCATTCGCCCTTTAACATACGAAAACAGTCGTTTCGGACAAGTACAGCTATCATATGCTGATTGCTGTTCGTAAGTGGTACGGGATTTAGCTATGGTTTTCTTACAAATATTACGGAACTTTTGGTACTCACGCTTAAATGATGCATGACCTGTCAACAAGAATATGTCCCAAAACTGTTGGGTGAGGGCGGGGTCCAGCAGTGACGGATCATGTTGCAAATCAATATGTGTCGGTTTTGTGATACGTTTTACAAGTGCACACTGAATAACAAATGATAAAAAAGGTCGCTATCGAAACCTCCACCTGGAGCTGTAAGCTCTATCCAGTTGATGTGCGGTGCGTTGAAGTCCCCAATGATGAGACAACATTCTGCCATACTCCAAGGTCAGATGTGTCTTAGAATAGAGTCGTCAGCAAGACAAAACGGACTACAGTATATTCCCCCTATAGTCACTAACCCATTTCTAGATTTAATCTTACAATATGCAACCTCACATGTGCCATTGATATGAGCCTCGGATATGGTTGATTGTATACGAAAGTGATCTCTTACTTATAATATTATACCTCCCCCTTTGCGACTTGAAACTTTATCACTTCTAATACAGATATAGCCTGCAATGAAAGGAGAACCGTCTATATCTACTGTGAACCAAGTTTCTGTAACAACGAATATATCGGGATATAATTCTTCCACCATCAGACTTAGCTCGGACGCTTTGTTTCTAAGACTACGAGCGTTCGTGTAGCACACACATAAGGTGTTTTGGCAATCAATCGTTCTACCCATAAAGGCGTCGGAAGCATTGGCTTCCAAGACCTGACTACCCTAAAACCCTTAGTGGTAAGGTTAGTTTCGCCATTTAACTTGCGAGTTCTCAACTCCGTAAGAGAATTCTTCCACTTGATTCGATCCTCAAGCGACCAATCTGGTCGAATACGGATATTTGAATCACGGGGCTTTTGTGGGTTTTTCAATAATATATCTCTTTCTTCAAAATTCCCTAGAACCAGCTTCAAGATCCTTTTTGTTTGGGTCTTGCCTCCAACCCATTTACCGAGTCGTATTACTTTCATGATATGCACCCCTTGGACCTCTTCAGGTAGTATATTTCTTACCACAGGCTCCACTAACTGCAGATCATGTGCATGTCTCTTATCAGGGTCATGGTCTTTCGACTCCTCTAGATTCCAAACAATTAAACTAGGAAGGGGTTTAGCTTCCTTTGAAATCGCATTCACAGCTTTCGATTGTGACGTTAGATCCTACATATTAACTACTGGTATCTTACGATTAATTTTTATTGTAACAGAGTCCTGTGAGTCGAGCGAGTGACTCACAACAATGTTAGACGAGGCTTTACTTTGGGACTTTGGCGGAGCGATTTGAGAGTCCACCAAGGACTTATCAAGTAAACGGTCATTAGTTTTAGCTGTCTTCCCTACTCTTCTGCGTTTCCGCGTCATCCATATTCCATCAGTCGTAGCATCCACATTAGAACCACTCGGGACAGTAATTGTTTTATCTGGGTCACCAGCTGCTGCTGTAGCAACATGGCCGCCAATATCTAATGAGGTGTCCCTCATTGATTGTTTCTAGGTGGAAGGTTTAATTGCGGGTTGCACAGTTAGATGCTTGGTTTGCGCCGAGACAGCACTTACGACACTAACGCAATCTTCATCATCAGTACCAATATTACCAATACAGCCCCCGTCAACCTTCGTATTCGCCAAATTCAGATTTGTGTAATAAAGACAGAAGGCCTACAGCCTATGTTATTCCTTTTGCAGTATGCTTCTGTGAGTGTCCAGTGTTCTATTGAATAAGTAAATTGAAGGTGCGGACACCATTGCTTTGAGTAACAGGTTCCAAGAATTGATGAAAAACGGGCATTTTATCCGTTCTTGTTTTTTTACTCGCCTTCTATGCCCCTTAGATGTTCCGATTTAGTGGGAAGAAAAGGGAAGTTATATTGGGTCCAATATCATTTTAGAATACTGATTCTATACATCAAAATCAGTTTACCTCCTAATCTGCGACAGTACAGGGAGAAGAGGTCCATCTATTCGAGCCACCCTTTGTATAGTAAACCCCGGAGTTCTGGAATTGCACGGGCAGCCGCCCTCTGTATTCTTTCCAGGATATCTGAGTCATCTTTTAAACAGGGGCTTGCAGCCCGAACGCAGTTCTCAAGCTTAGTTCTCACCAAGGCTGTGTATACTGTAGTGATCACAGTAGTATCTAAGTGAATGTCCGTTTTAAAGCCCGGGGGGTTCTAAACCCCTTAGTTGTGACTTTCCGGGAATGGGCTGTCGTCTAAAAATTATGACTCACTGTCACCCCAAGATCCTTGTGAGACCGGAGCACGGGCATAGGCATTTCCCCTATGCTGTACCTATTAACCTTTTTATCCCCAAACTCCATGCAGACATAGTTTGCCGCGTTGATAGACGTCAGTCACTCATTAAACCAGTTAATCACATTATTTAAGTCTGCTTGAAGTGCGTATACATCTGAGTCTTCGGTTGTTACTCGCCAGAATTTTACATCATCAGCGTATATTAACATTGGAGACTCAACTATACTCAGGAAATCATTTATATGCAGTATAAAATGTAATGGACCTAGGACAGAACCTTGAGGTACTCCACTAAGTACTGGTCTCCAGACTGAACACATTGAATTTATTCTTACTTTCCGTCTACGTCCTAAAGAAAAATCTTGAGCCATTTTAAGAGAGGTCCGGCAATATCAAGATTTTGTAGCTTCAAGAGCAGTCTATTTGTTGACACTTTTTTAAATGCTTTGCTGAATTCCATGTATACGACACCCACTGGTTTTCCGTTGTCTAGAGCCTTTATCTATTGCCCTCTTGCTATAAGGGGGCTTGTTGTGCAAGATAAACCCTTTCTGAAACCATGTTTGAACCATGTTTGATCTTGCCCGTAAACTGGCATGTCTCATGTAGCAAACTGTTATTTGAGAATAAATTATTATTATTATTATTGTTCTCTGTTTAACAAGTTATTGGTTTCCACGAATGTCATTGTGGTCTTTTTGACAATTCTTTAAGCTGAGGCTGATAGGTCTGTGGTTCGATGGAAGTCATTCCGGTCCTATGGTAATGTAGGATGTCACGAATCAATGGTATTGATGGCAAATGGTTATACAAAATACCTCTTTAAATCATTTTTGTGACATTGAATTGGTTTCACTTCCTAACGTGTGATCCTAGTACAAGTAAAACTAGACAATTCACTAGGAACGAAGTCTGCTCATTGTAAGATCCATTTTGAGTGTTTTGTGTGTTTGTGAAAATCCCTCCATCTATATACTTGCACTTTGTTCCTATTGATCCGCTTAGTTGTACATTGTTGTCTTTTGATTACATTTGAATTGTTAATACTTGTATTTTTTTATTATAGTTTTTGTTTTTCTTACGCATTCACTAAGTTTGTGTTTCTTCCCAAACTGCATCTGTGTTGTTTTACTGGACACTTGTTCTTGGTGGTAGCTATATTGATTTGCTCCTCCTTTTGCGTGTTCTATCCAGTCAGGATAGAATAACGTTCATTTGTTGTGACTGGTAATTTTCCCTCATCTTTCACCAACTACTTTATTTATTGTAATTTAGATTTTTTGATTGAACAATTATTGGTTGAATAGCCGGGTGGCATTATTTGTTCAGGTAACGATTTACATTTCAATTTATGATGAATTATAGAACCGCTATTTACCCGATTACTTGTTTTGATTTCGACGGGAAAGGGCGCGTGTCTAACGTACCTGGAAGGCTATTCAGCAGTCCAAACCGTAGTTTGGACCTTACACTCATGACCCTATAAAATCGATAAAAAGAAAATGGGCTGAAACACCTTCGACAAAAAGGAATATAGCCATTTGTGTAATAAAATACTGTTTTCAGTACTATATTTCAAAACTTCACAAAACCTTATACTTTCAGCTTCTTTTTGGACCACCTCCATTTATACAGTTATATGTCCATTCATACCAAATTTACGCCGGTTTCCTTTAACTTACTAGAACGCTCTTGCTTAAAAAGTACCTTAATATTAGAAAATTAGGCTAAGTAGTCATAGCCTCACTACTCCACCACAAATGACTCAGTTTCAGTATGCATGAACCATGTCTGCTTTCCTTCTCGTTCTTTGTTTTTCTTACGCTTTTTTTCAGCCCTCTCAATATATGCCACAGAAAACGTATATCGAACGGGAAACTTCGTCCTGCGCCATCATTAATGACTCAGATGTTCCAAAGGGATATAAAGTCACGGTTTACAGGAGATCTCAAATTTACGTGGATTTACACAGGAATGGGGGTGGAGCAGCTTTATACTTGCGATTTTGCCTGGAGGTACATTAAATGCATAACCAAGAGTTTATTAATATCGATGAATCTGTATGGTGCTCACTAAGATTGTCTACCACTTTGAGGTGTCTAGTTTTAGTCATCTACAGGAAGCCCACCGCTGACATCGAGTACGTTAATCGTATGCTGGGAGGATCATCCCTATTTACTCGTCACTGGTTCATTCATTTCCTGATTCTAGAGGACTTCAATTTCGCGGAACATACGTACATTGTAGGTAAAAACTTTACTTTTTTTAACTTCGTTTAAGTTCTGGGGTTACTGAAAAAAGTGAATTCGGCAATTCGTTGAAGAAACAGTCAGACACCATCGCGCTTAGACTGTGTATTTACAAACGAAGAATTCCTAGTTGACAACTTCTCAATCCTGGCTTCCCTGTAGAAAAGCGATCACACCTTTATATATTTCAGTTTCGTCAGCAAAACTGAGCAAAGATACCTCACCAACAACAGGCGCTGGAATTTCAAACGGTTGAATGCGTCAGCTCTACAGGACTATCCACAACAGGTGGATTAGATGTTCACCCTCAACTCGATGTGAATACTCATTGGACGTCTTACTGCATACGCTCATATGTGCTACAAATCATTCAGTTCCTCAGACAGTCCCCATAGCTATCAGCAACTCACAATCATCAAGAACCGCACTCTTCGCCTGCTAAGCCGCAAAGGGCACTGTCGGGCAGAATACAAACGAACTGACAACAACGGAGCGTACAGGTAATACAAACATATAAGGAACATATGCACGAAGGCTATAAGAGAGGACAGGCTTCAGTACCAGATAAAGCTTATCGATAAATTTGTCTTATTTAGTTATGCAGCCTCTCTTCGACAGGTCAAAGCTGGAGTTTCTCAAATTTAGGGCCCCGATGACCCGACCAACAATAACGGCGACACCTCTAACCTTTTGGCTGAACAATACTCTCGGACATTCCAGCCGACCCACATAAACTATAATGATGAAAGCTTCATCTGCAACTCCAAAGAACTTATCTAAGTGAACCTGAGCGTTGACTTGGTGTTCTGGAAACTGCAGCACTTAAGAATAGACACTTCTCTTGGCCCGGATATGGTCCATTCTGCCATATGAGGGAAGCAGCCTCAATCCTGGCAACACCGCTTAGCGTGATATTCTCACACTCGCTAAGCCGAGGCAAACTACCGGAAAATTGGAAGTTGGCTCACGTCACACCAATTTCCAAAGGAGGTCGACGCAGCGAACCTTCAAGTTACCGACCAGTGGCTCTTTTCTCTGTACCTTTAAAAAATATGGGATCCCTGATATGCAACGGTATACATGATTATTTACTGTCCATAAATTTCTTCTCACCCCAACAGCATGGTTCCAGGAAGGGTTACTCTTGTATTACCAACCTGCTGACTGAGGTGGACAGATGAACAAGCATCTCTGATCACAAAGGGGAAGGTTGATATCATCTACCTAGATTTCTCAAATGCTTTTGATAAGGTTAACCATACATGTCTTATCGATGAGATCAAACGACTAGGTATCAGACCACCTCTAATCGATTGGCCCACTTCATACCTGAAAAATCGACACTTTGAGGTTAGCATTAATTTCACTTTATCTCAGGCTATGGAATGTCCTAGTGGGGTCCCCCAGGGCTCAGTACTAGGGCCTCTTCTCTTCTTGATCTACATAAATGATCTTCCTCAACAGGTAACGTCAGACTTATTACTTTTTGCCTACGACGTGAAACTTTGGAGAGAGATACTCAACCAAGACGATATACAGGCACTTCAGGAGGATCTGACTCGACTTCAAAGTTGGGCAGACGATAACGGACTTACCATTAACACTTGAAAGTGTAATGTAGTCCATCTGCGACATGTCGCAGACTACAGTTACAACTTAGGAAACTCCTCTCTAGTAGTATCCCAAGTCGGAAAAGATTTAGGAGTCCTAGTGCCCTACGATTTAAAGTCTTATGCCAACTGTGACAAAAATGCCGCTCGAGCAAACGTTGCACTGGTAACGTTGAAGTGCATATTTGGACAGTTTGACGGAAGAACTTTCCATATAATCTTCAATAGTTTCATCCGTCGCCATTTAGAGTACGGAAACATAGTATTTCCTTCCTCACTCCAAAAGGATAAGGACACTCCGGAGCGTATCCAACGGCGGGCAACCAAATCAGTTCGAGGACTCAAATTTAAACCTTATGAAGAGCGCCTCCAATCATTTAACCCTTACTCATTAGAGTATATGCGTCCTAGAGGTGACCTTCTAATGGCTTACAGCATCGTTAACACTTCTGGACATCCTCTCAAACACCTACTTAAGCTTAGTTGGAACACTAACTTAAGGGGTAACACCCAGAAATTGGAGACACAACATAGCAGAACGGACTGTAGACGCAAATTCTACTCCTTAAGAGTTGTCAAAAGCTGGAATTCGCTGCCGGCCGAGCTAGTCCAAGCGACTTCTCAGGAGTCCTTCAAGAGGCAACTTGACCCTGATGATGTCACAGGTATTCAGTGTTTGACAACGCTTCTACCAGTAACACCTTCTAATATATTTTGTTCCCGCCCAGAGAAATCAAAAGACAGAGTCGAGGAGATCGGATGAGTATATTTGGCGATGACCAATATATCGGAATTCTCTGATCTAATCTGGCTAGCGATTGCGGTTGATGTTGAGCACGGGGTTACCACACGTGATCTGGTGCGGATGCCTGACCGAGCGCCTTCAGCTAGGTGAGTCCACTAAAACATATGGTCAGCATCCAATGTCGAAAACTTAGTGCTATTTATTTTGGGGATTTATTTACCGCTACAGATCACTCCCCCCCTAGTGGGGCAGTGACGACCCTAAGACGTGGCCAGCCAGAAGTTTGAACCCAACGAGTTTGTCGTTGGTAAACACTCTTCTGATAGCTTACTAAATTTAGCAGCGTCTGGTCGTCTTTCCTTACTATATGGGACGGAGGTACAACATAGTAAAAAAAGAAAATGTACATGGAAAATTTCGGATCCTCATAAACGTCATCGTTCTTTTCCAGCCGTCCTGGAAAAGAAAAAAGAAAATGTAAGTGTATGTCGAAAATACATTCGTATGTGCGTAAAAACACAATGTCGGCGGAAAAAAATGGAGATAAACTCATGAACACGTAATAGCGTTAAAAAAATTGTTTTTTTGTTTCGTTTTTTTTAAATAGAAATAAAAATATATAAGCATATTAAAATTTGCTTTTAAAAAAAATAATATAAAATGTCGAGAAGTGCCTTAAGTGCAATAGTCGTTTAAATGTTCCGGAAATCTCACCCTTCTTCCAGAACGCGTCGTTTTAAGTTTATTTTCGGATACTGTCGAAGTATCATCGTGTGTGTTGGTTGTCGGATGAGGTATTATAAGTGTCGGAGTCGTGTCGTTCGATTGTACCGAAGGAAAATCCACGTAGATAGGATTTTCTTCTAAATACGCTGCTTTTAAGCGATCGATGCTGATGCTATCGTTGGTTCCGTTCTTATCGACTATATAGTACTTAGATTCACGTTGAAGAACTTTGAAGGGTCCTTCGTATGCTGATTCGAATGGTCGTCGATGCGAGTCTCGACGAACGAAAACGTATGTACTATATCGTAAGTCAGGTTGAACGAAAACATCAGTTGATTGAGGTCGAGTGAAAGCAGGTTTAACTGAACGCATTGCGTTTGTAAGCCTGTTCGTGTAGGAGGTTAGATCCATGTTCATTGAAGAGGATGAAGGATCCACGAATTCTCCTGGAAGTCGAAGTGTCGTTCCATAAACGAGTTGAGCCGCAGTGTATCCAATGTCAGCTTTCACTGCATTGAGAATCCACTAGCGATTGCGGTTGATGTTGAGCACGGGGTTACCACACGTGATCTGGTGCGGATGCCTGACCGAGCGCCTTCAGCTAGGTGAGTCCACTAAAACATATGGTCAGCATCCAATGTCGAAAACTCAGTGCTATTTATTTTGGGGATTTATTTACCGCTACAACCCATTCTTAAAGACCAAGGACAGCACACACTACGATTCACTAATTTCTTTTTCCTCTTTCATTGTTAACATACCTAGGTTCCTGCCTGGAGGTATTCGTGATCCCCTGCTACTAGACACAGAAGCATGTTAAGCGGAAGCTTCTTCTATTCCATCCACAACCATTTGAACCATTTAGGCATGCCGCCATTTTAGAATTCAAGGTTATGTGAGTAAGTCCCACCGATGACGGATAAAACTTCAGACACGATGAATATTTCACACCCTCCAGCAGGTAAGCATATGTATCTTATCATTTATAACGAAATTTTCAGTTAAAGCTGGGAAAATGAGAATTGTAAAACATGTTAAAACACATGATGCCACAGTTGAAGTCAGGTATGTTAGTGGAAAATTTTTAACATTGTTTCAGATGTGAAGAGGAATCCCCACACGAGCTTCTTACTAGGGTAAGTTAATTTGTATTCTTTGGCTCGATTTTAATTTCCTTATGTTTCTAATATTAAGTGATTTGTCTAAAGAATGTACGCGAGCTTCGCTATTCCAGGAATCAGCTTAGTTGCTGTTCTCTGAGCGTTTCCAAAAAACTGACTGTCTTTTTTTAAGCAGGGGCTAACCGCTTGTATGCAGTACTCAAGTTTAGGTTGCACGAACACTGTGCACAAGGTCAATAACGTAGTAGCGTCGACGTGACTAAAGGCCCTACGTATCTATCATAAAGTTCTAAAACATTTGGCGGCTATTTTACGGCAGTGTGCAGTAGTCCTTCAGTCTTGGCTAACGATGACCCCTAAGTCATTGTGTGTCTGGACATTATGTAGCTCAGTGTTATTTATCGTGTATGTATCTGTACCTTGATGGTCGATATGCATCACAATACACTTGGAAGTATTAATCTGCAACTGCCAGTTTTGAGACCATTCAGATAATTTCTTCAGGCCATTTTGGAGTTCTAAGCTATCACTCTTACTCCGTATCGCTGTCTATATCTTGACATCGTCAGCATATAGCAAGACCGATGATGAAAATAGACAAATGTCATTTACACACAAGAAGCATAACACTGGCCCCAAAACTGTACTCTAGGGCACTCCACTAAGTACAGTTTCCCAGCTAGGCAACTTTGAGTTAACCCATATTCTTTGTTGGCGTCCAACTAGGAAGTTATTAATCCACATCAATAGATCGCCTCCAATTCCGACGTTTCTTAGCTTATATAACAGCCGGTTGTGCGGAACTTTGTCAAAAGTTTTGCTGAGATCAATGTAGGCTACATCTACAGGTAAATCTTGGTATTTAAGAGCGCACCAGCTTTCATGAGCCACTAATAATTTGGTGAGACAGGTATAACCTATTCTAAAACCATGCTGCTTCTCCGAAAGGACCCTGTTTTCATCGAGGTACTTAAATAGCTCCTTCAGAATAATATTTTCTAAGATCTTAACAACCACACTAGATAGGCTAACGGGTCGGTAATCCTCTGGTTTGTGTTTCGTACCTGTTTTGAAGACAGGACTTGCCATGGCGTTCTTCCAGTCTTTTGGTAAACGACCCTGGGTTACGTATAGATTAGAGCATATACTTAAAGGGTTTGCAACGAAGTTAGCTAATTCCTTTAGTAACCTAGGATGCAGTTCACGGGCCCCGTGGATTTGCCTACGTCAAGCTTATTTAGCAGACCAAAGATATCGAGTTCTTTAATGGTCTCGCTGTCCAGTGTTTGTGTGGGGGGATTTGTATGGACTGACGGGGTGTCCAAATCCAAGACCTGTTATCCCTAATCTGGTTGGTTTGTCCATAAATTATAATCTTGCGGTGGTTTTTATCTTACGGTTTAAGAGAAGACTAAGAGTGTATATACCTACGCCATTGTGATCGATTATGAGCCACACCACCCAGTCTCTAACCCTTGGTTACGATAGTCGCACTGGCCCCAACCAAGTAGTCTGCATCTACAAACATGGCTCAGACTAAAAGTTATTGACTTCAGTGACTGATGTCATTTTTTGGTTTGGCCGCTCCTAACTTTCTTCTAACCGTCTCCGATACTAATCAGCATTGCGCACCGTGGGAAACGGTGTTCAGGCATATATAACACGTGGTCCAGCCATCTTAATCGACGAAGATTTACAACCTCATCAACTGACTTACCATCGTTTCCTAATAGCCGGCGTCCAATCTCATTATTACTTACTCACCCAGTAATCCCAGCAGGTGCGAGCTATATTTCTAAGATATCTGTGATCAAATACTGGTAGCCTACGAGTATCTTATGCTCTTGATGGCCACGTTTCGCAGTCGCAAAGTAGAACAGAACTAACTGCTGCACCGACGTCGTAGATTCGACCTTCTACAGTCAGACTAACACTGTGAAGGGGCCAAAGACATCCCAGATTGGCATAAGCCACTCAGACTTTCACTATACCTGAATTGAATTCATCACTCAAGCCATCACCAACACTTACGCACCTACCCAGATACACGAACTTCTCGGCTACTTTTATCTGCTCACTACCCAGGATGAGTGCACGTTCAGGGTTCTGCCAGTCTTGTAAAAGTACTTTGCACTTCGAAAGAGCAAAATACACGCCATATCTACGGAAACTAATTGATGATGATTGTGAATGTGATTTTTCCGAATGCCATGAAAATGGCGAGTAAAGTCGCTTGTGGCTTCACGAGATATCCCACTTATAAGCACTGGGATTCCCTCTTTATGATCGACAGAGCATTAATAAACTTCTAAAATTGTCTTAATTCTCTTTTACTAGTTCTACCCTGGTTTGATTCACGTAGTGTTAGAATAAATGTGTGTAAAGCATTAATGTCGAAGGTTTATGTAACATTTTCCTACTCTTTTGCATCAAGAAAATAATTCACAAAATTTAAGAACGTTTGACTGCCATCTGAAATTTCGTTTTTCACACTAGGATCTATTTCTTTGACAAATCACTTTATGTCACTACCTCCTTTTGAGACTGACGATTCTTCTGTAAGTATCCGATGCACTTTGCAATCTGGGGTTTTAAATTTTAGCAAGCTGGGCAAGAGTTTATCCTTAAACTCACCCCCGGTAGACATTAAGGTCAGATGTGTATACTTTTTATCTTCCCTCAAATCCTGGACATAGTTTTGTTTGCTCAACGAATGCTTTCCACTCTTTACCACTGAAGACTTTAATATTATTTTGTTGTTGATATTCGTATTCATGTAGAGCTTTACAAGTTGATCCGAAACCTTATGGGCATAGGTTCAATATTTCTACATTTTTATTATGTACTCAGTTAGCTCGTTAAATACGAGTAAAATGGAATTTGAATAGTTATAAATATAACTTAGTAATTATATAATGCTACAGTGAGGGTTTTCATTTCTTAGCATAACTAGTACATTACTATTGATTCGTACGTTTTTACTTTTTATTTATGTTATCTATCTCGTTGTTATCATCGATTTATAAGCTGGTTTGATTGGTTTAAAATTTTCATATTACATAAATATCACTGTATATTAAAGTAAAACCTCAAGGGAAGATCTAACCAAAATTAATATTGTTTGTTTATGTATTTTAATTTACGTTATGGGAACCGCTATTATCTATATTTATTCTTTTTTTTCTAGGAGGAAATTGAATGTCACGACAAGTGTATCAAAGCTTATCATGATAAGCCAATGCCAACAGTTACTAAACCCCACAACGATAATACTAAACGTATTATTCAACAACCTTTGAAGTGAAAAATTCTATTTTCTTAATGAATTAAATTTCTTTTTTTGTAACCCTTATTTCTTTAATATAATCATTTACCAATTGTTTCACTGTCAGTTTTTCAAGGATTATTTCCGCAACTGTCCCATGTTATGGGATTTATTGACTTCGGTGGTAAACTTCTACAACGGTTAAAAGATGGTTGTCCTAAGCTCAATGAATCTGTACACATATTTCTCCTTGAAGATCCTGGACAAATAGAATTTGTTGTTTGACTGCGTTTATTCAGTTGGTTGTCGTTTAGACAGTTAGTTATTGGCAGTGGAGTTGGTCTAGGTGATAACCCAAGTTGTCGTATTGTCATAGTCTCACTTAACCATTCCGGATGTATTATGTAATACGGGGCTTTAATTCCACTGTTCATATGTACATTAAATAATCCTCCTCTGTGTTCCGCTCTTGCACTAGACGTTTCACTTTTCCCACTTCTGGATGGAGATTCTCCTCGGTGTGTGGAAATTAAGTTGATCCGACCATATTGTCGCTCCTGGTTCAAAACAGGTGTACTTCGTTGTGTTTGTCTTGTTAACCAAATATATCTGGCATTTTCGTTCTTTAGAGTCTCTAGCTGATGCAAAGGCTCTCTAACTTCTGTTCTGGAAGTGATTGGGGTCTTTGTACGTTTATTGTGAATAGTTTGATGTCTGAAAATAAAATTGGCAAGTACTTTAGTTAACAAATTTATACTGTACTATAATTAGTTCAATATCAAGATGGTTGGTGAGTACTGGATATGTAGGTAAATATAAATAAAAGCTTATGGAATCATAATTAAAAGATAACCACTGAGTCACTGGTTTTACTTTTAAGATTATTTACTGTTATTATTTTGAGTAATAAATCAGACTACAAATTAATGATCTCGAATAAGCATAAAGTTTAAGTCCAACAAGTAATAAACTGTTTGTTTTCAGTTACTCCGGTTACTCCTCATGGGGGATAGGCTACCAACCAGGATTTTCAAATCAACCCTGTTCTGGACCCTCCATTCCATTTGTTCACAAGTGCTATTCATTCTTTTCATATCTACTTCCAATTCCCTGCGCAATATGCTTTTTTGTCTATCTCTTTTCCTTTCGCCCTGAAAATTACAAATTACTGCCTGTCATGTAATGGAGTCCCATGGTTCCCATGAAACGCGTCATTTTACACTCCAATAACGTATCAGACTCCCAAAAAACGAGTAGTACCACTAGTTCAAAACTCGTCATATACATTTTACTTTTTAGTCCAGGATGTACCACCTGCATCTATTTAACCAAATTCAAATCAACCACAAAAATTTTGACACTTTTTGTATTATTACATCAGTATAACGACTAAATGCTCTAAGTATCATCAAGGGATTCTAGTGAAACGTTAGCTTTATTGTAGTTTTACTTTCAGTCGGTAGTTCGCATGTTCGAACCTAGATCTTTGTATATTCCTGTCCAGGTAGCCGGATACCAGTAGTATCAATAGCCTTCAGATAAACATTCCGAATCAAGGCTGAATACATGGAACTATACTTTATTATCTAATTTTTGTGTTGAGTAAAAATGTGTAGATTGGTTTATCGAATTAATTATTTGTGAAATATCAAGCCTATGAAAACTAGATCAATAAAAATGTATTTGAAGAATAATACAAATAAACAATAAGCTTTTCATGTCATCAAAAAGAGCAATAAAGTTTTTATTATTTTACTGATGAGAAGAAATATCAAGGTGTATCTTATAAATCTGATGTTGGATTACGACAAGGTGATGGTCAACAGCTTTTGATAAGCTAGAAAGTTCGTTAGATGTTAAGATTACCTTCATTAAATCAGCTTAGATATGTGCATACTTGAAAAGGAAAAAATACCATATGGCTATTACGCCATATAATTGTCATATTATCCTTATCGGATCCAAACGTACTTAGGCTTTTGGTATTAAATGATTGGATGTAATCAGCAGGAAGCCTTGATCGTCCATGTTATGAACTAATGTAACTGACTGACTTAATTGTTACTTGGATAACTCAGTAGTAACATCTAATTCAACGTTGTGATATGGAATAGAATTTCTGGAGATAATGATAATTATTTCAGTACCTTAGTACATTCTGTCCATGAGTAGTATGAAACCTATGTCTAACCTCTGTTTCGATTTAATCCGACCATCTAACATCAAAAAGTACACCACAATGTTGAATACTTTAGTCTAATGAATACGTTTGAAAATTAGTTGATGGAATTCTATATCAAAAATGATAAAGAATTTTACATGACATTAGTCACCACTTTATATCTGTTTGATGTTAACCTGAACCTTGTTCGAGTTGGAACTAAATATTAACTCATTGATTAATAAAAGGTTATCGGTAATTTTGTACGTGATTAGCTGATTTTATTAATCTTTTGTTATGTACTGAATTATGATAAATATTAAGGCCTATCGCCGTTGCACAAATTGGCGGCTATTTGAACTCAGTGGCTCAAGGGACAGCGTATTAGACTTTGGAGCGAAAAGTAACTAGATATGAACGTCAGCACTGGGGTGTACGTACATCCAGCTGAGTAGTTTCAAACAAAACTAACATCCCATCCTGGACTTCACTGCTAACCGCCGTATGTCACCATCGGTTGTTACTTTTTTAAAAATTAGATTAGTGGTTTATCATAATACCACTACGAAATGAATCTCTTGGTCGGCGGTCTATTTCCAAAGAAGGGTAACAAGCTTAAGTAAGTAATGAAAAGAGTAATTTTTCAAATTAATATGGTATCAGTTGTTAAATAAGACGAAGTACTTTAAAACATATTGGCTACTTTTTGACGTTAGTTGGAACTTAGAGAAGATTATTAAATTTTTTTCATAGGAATAGATTATTTTCCGTAAGTTATTCAGGTTATGTTCTACTTGTTACCATGACATGGTATGAACTGGAGAACCAACGAAAATTGTTGTTTGTTTATCCTAGTATCTTCAGGAGACCCTTGACAATGAACGTAACCAATACTTCATCTAGGATCAAGGCCAGGACCTTAAAGCTTCTCAGCGTGTGCAAAACATTTGCACTTTAAGTTTTACCAAATAAAATTATAAGTGATGACGACTTGTATGTGCGAACGGGTAAGCTCTAAATGATATAGCATGACTTTTATACGTACATCTTGTTTCATACACTTAGTTCTCTTAATCATTTTGAAGAAAGCAAGAAAAAATTCTTAAACTGAATAACATGAATTCATTTTATTTCGTTTGGTTCTCGTCAGATGCTTACAACCTGTGATATTTAAAAATTATAATTACAAAATCTGTCTGAATTGCTTTCATGAAAGAGTTTAGTTGGAAGTTATGTTGAAGACACATTACTGTAGTATAGCAAGGATGTAAATAAATTTAATAGACTAAGTAAAATATTGTAAATGTATATCACCTATAAAAGAAAATCGAAAAGCACTGTTTTTACATAAGATATATATTTACAATATTTTATTTAGTCTATTAAATTTATTTGCATCCTCACTATACTGATGTATCTTCAAAATAACTTCCGACTAAACTACTACTACATAGAATAGGTAGAATGTGTCGGGATTCCAAAGTTGATGTTCACTATGGAATTCAAACACCAACGTGTTATCCACTTAGCTAAAGATTTCAGATAACCGCTCATTTGTGCAACGGGTATAAAATGTAACCTAATTTTTGTAATAGTTCGGATTATCTAGTTGTTGGTACTTGAACTGTATTTTGATTCACTATTAACTACATTCTACCTAAACTTGTGATATAATAGCTATATCAAGCCAATCTTTACAGGATTCGCATATGTCAACTAAAATTGACAAAAATATTAACAATATGATAATATAAACCATCACGAATTAAATTAAACTCGACGCATTTTGTAATTATTTTGGATGTTTCAGGTTGTAAGCGGCTGACAAAAATCCAACGCAATAAAATAAATGCACATTATTCTGCTAAAATCGTTTTTATATCTGACTACTTTATCGTCATACTTAACAGTAATCTTTAAATAATTAGATTCAAGATTAATGTAAATCAACGAATACTGGATAGTCATTTGTTGAGCAATCACTTAAACTGTAATTAAACAAGTTCCTCATAAGTTCATAATAAAGATATATATTTTTAGATGTTTCGGTTGTACTACGTGTGATATATTACTGTAATAAACACTGTTAACAAAGAAAACATATTTATCAGCGTGGGATTGTTGAGATTGTTAAGATTTTGATTGAGATCATGAATCGATCAATGTTAGGCCACCATTTAGAACCTGGAAGCACTGGACGGCCGTCAGTAGTGCGCACGAGGGATCCGAACCTAGGAGCTTCGACCTCGCGCACAGACACTTAAGCTTCAGACCACTGAGCTGAAATCCAACGGTGTTAATGTCTAATTTCAACCTATCCACGAAACTGCGCGACCATCTTTTATTGTCTGAGGTAGACACCTGTCTCTACCTGACGAGGATTAGTTCCACTGATCACAGCTTCTCACTAGAACTCCGAGAATTACCTAACGAAGCTAGTTTTCTGTGAGCACATGATAATTATCTGCATGGGTTAAGCGTTTACGTGCAAGGCCGAAGGTCCTGGGCTCGAGTTTCTCGTGTGGGATCGTGGATGCGCACTACTGAGGAGCCCCATGTTAGGACGAAACGGCCGTCCAGTGCTTCCAGGTTTTCAGCGGTGTCTAACATTGCTCGATTCATGATCTCAATCGAAAACATATTTACTGACAAGTTTAATCCTGTTCCACAAAGTATGGTTATTTAATTACAGAAGATAATGCTATTTTGATCATGTTTACTTTGAAAGTACTGCAGGAACCACGACGGAAATTTTGAATAGAATGTTCACGTTTATAGCTAAAATAATTAAACTCTTAGAAACAGTGGTATTTTCATTATTATTTGTAAGATTTTGCATTTAACCGTTATTTATATTCAAGGGTGAATTTGACCAGTTTCTGTTGGTGAAATGATATTGTCTGTAGTTACAAGTTGACCACATCAGTTGATGGTTAGCTGGGGGAATTCAATATTTAAAATATAATTAACTTTAAAATGGAGCCCTTATTGAGTTAGTTAGTCAAGCAGCCCATATTACCAATAAAATCAGGACTTAGTAGCTTAGTGGATAACTTACTAGTGTTTCATTTAAAGTATTTTAGGTCTGAGTTTCACTAAATACACTGGTAATAGTATACGAGCATATCCAGTAAATGAATTCCATGCAGAACGAAATGTAAGTCTAGGATTTCACTTTTAACTCTGTTAGGGGTGTACACTCTCAAGTTACAGTTTATGAGATGTAAACCAATGTCGATTAGATTGAAGTTCTGTTAAATTATTCAGCGTGAACAATGTGCATAGGAGTCCAATACATATTTACGATAGTTTTTGTTAATGACAAATATTGAGTTTAGATATTTTAATCATTTTTTTATTGATATAGATGAGACTAAAATTTATGGATAACCTTTGAGCGACGCTAAAGCGACCTTGAAGATGTCTATCTACTAACTAGGACTAAATGAGGTTTATAAACCAGTGTGAGGAATTAGAATTATGATTTACAGTTGATGGTTAGGTTTACATGTTAGATTTATCGTTTTCATCATGAATTAACATCAACTATTATGCCAAAAACTGTATTTAACCAAATGGATAAATGAATTTCGTGTCAAAATCCAAGACTCGTTATCTTATATTGATTCATTCATAAATTACAGTTTCGTCAACTGATGTTTTTACGTTATCAGGACAGCAAAAAAATAGGCGAACAATAGTTTCGTTCATAATGTCGAAGTTATCATTAACACAACACACGAACATTATCAAAATCCTAATCCTAAGTAAAATGAAATTGAGAATGTCGTTACTATTAAAGATAATCATTCAAAGAGACTATAGAATTATATCTTAAACAAATAAACAACTGGAACACATGAACATAGTGAGATAAAAAACAAAAAAACAATCAATCACTTACTTTACTTGTTTGGATGAAATACTATTTGATGAATTCGTTGACATAAATGATGGGAAGTTGTAAATTTCTGTGATCCCAAATATTTGTCCTATAATAATATTATTATCAGAATAGGTTTTGTGGAGAATTTTTTATGAAATTTCACTGGTTGAAATCATGAGTCAATTGGAGCTAGACCACTATGGAAAACTTGAGAGCACTGGACGGCCGTTTCGTCCCAATATGGGACACCTCAGCAATGCGCATCCACGATCGCGTCCCCCGTGAGATTCGAACCCAGGGCCTATCAGTCTCGTGGATTGGTTGAAGTTAGACATTAACATCGTTGGATGCCGGCTCAGTGGTCTAGTTGGTTAAGCGCCTGGCGTGAGGAGTTCCATACTGGGACGAAACGGCCGTCCAGTGCTTCCAGGTTTTCCATGATGGTCTAGCTTCAATTGACTCATGATTTCAACCAGTGAAATAATAATATTAAGAAAAATACTAGTATAATAATACATACTGTATAGAGTGATATGTTCATTAAAAGTTCAAATCATTGAATTGAATCATGCCAATAATGTAGACATCAGTAATGAGAAATATTTTGGTAAATTCGGTCAATTTTCCACTAGTTCAACTTGAAACATTGAGAAATATTCTAGCTTAAACTCATAGGTATACATACATACAATTTCTCATTCAAACTACCTATCAAAAAAGAGGGATAATCGTTTAAGTTTCATGTCTGTCTCCCAAAAAGGTTAGTTGATAAGATAGTTGTATAGCTTTGACTACAAACCCACGCTTAGTTCAAATTTGAATACAATTGGTTTTCTGGATGTTTCATCCTAAAAAGAACTTTTTTTGAAAGTCACTTAGAGTTAGCTGAAACAGTAACATAATATATGTGTATATATATCTTTGCATAAATTATTGACCATATTGGTTAGTTACTCTTCCCCATTCGGTAATTCTACAGACCGGGATGAACAAACAAACACTGTTCGGAAAAAGTTTGTGATTACATACACAGTTACTCATGTGATATATATATATATATATATAAGTTGATAGGTACAAAAAAGGACTTCGATTACATTCACAATTTAGATAGGTGGATCATTTCGGGATTGAACTGACCGATTAATGTTAACGTACTAACGTGCTGAACAAGTATTCCAAGGTAACCTATCATCATATTTACACATTAAAATGACTAAAACTATCTTATGCTACTGGGCTAATAAGGATCAAAATAACGATTTTCAGCTTTTTACCCTCTACTTAAAAAAATGCCGCTTATCATTCACCACATCAAGTGCCTTTATTTAGTTCTCAAAATTTCCAGGATTGTTAACAATTTTTAAATAATGGAAAAAGCATATTATAAAGACAATTCAATCAAACAGATCTCGAGGATGTTATTTACCAAGGCTGTATAAGTGTATTTATAGTTATTTAATACATAGTAGTCTATAACCAAATAGGATAGGTATTGTGTTATTAATGAAGTGATTGAAAAATCTCAAGCATTAAATGTTAGATAATAGTCTAAAGATTAGTGAAAATCATCAGTGATATAATTAGATTACAGGTGAGAAATGAAAAGATAATTGTCTACTTGGTAAATATGAAGATGATTTAGGAGTGAAAAGATGTACTTCTTCTACTAAGCATTATAAAAAGATGAACGGCGGATCATTACCATGATGGAAAGAATTGGGAGTATCGGTATATTGAATATGAAGTTCAGGCTTGGAATGATAAACATCTCAAGTCTCCATTGTGAACAAGTTTCTGATCCATATGATCTTTGAGCTTGTTTGTTCAATTTTCTAGATAGTTTTGAAATCTAGTGAGGCGATATGATTGGGGTTCATGAAATATTCAAAAGTAGAGCTACTGATTGTTTTTTATCGAGTTTTGGACAGACAGGGCAAGTATTATTTGGAAATGTGTTTCGAAACAACACGCTTTATGTGGTTCGTATTACGTGTTTCTCAAGAGCAAATGGTAAATCTACATGGAGGTGGTCTAAGACAACATTCTATTCTACACGCATCTCCGAATCAATTGTCGATTAGAGAAGACTATTCAAAGTTCAGCCCAATGAAAAGTTTCTTTTTGATATCGATAGTTAAATCTAGGAATTCTGATCCAGTATCTACGAAATCGACGTTATTGATAAAAAAATCTTCGAGATTGTAAGAGTTTACCTGTGAGGTTAGCAATTGCAAGTATCTCAAGGTAATATTCCTAATAAGTAATATGAAGTACTTTGTTAAAAAGTAATACATCACCGACAATCTCTTCAAAACGACCTATAATTAGTGATTAAGCATGTTGTACAAACATCAATGAACACGATTGTGAACACTGAGTACGTTTATAGTGCCAAATATTACATCACTCATATACTACTGGTCACGTCCAAATTGTACTATATTTCAAAGCCATATTCTCTGTAACGATATATATATATATATATATATATATATATATATATATGCGCAGCATCATTGATGAACACGGTGGATCTGATGCAGATGTGAAGGCGCGGATCGGCAAAACAAGAGCAGCATATCTACAACTGAAGAATATAAAGAACTAAAAACAACTATCAGTAAGCCAACACAAAACTCAGAATTTTCAATACAAATGTCAAGACACTTGTATTGTATGAGGCGGTAACTTAGAAAACTACGAAAGCCATCATCCGGAAGATATAAGTGATTATTAACAGTTGTCTACTCAAAATACTTCGAGTCCGTTGGCCAGACATTTTCAGCAACAACCTACTGTGAGAAAGAACAAACCAGATCCCAGTGGAGGAAGAAATCAGAAGGAAGCACTGGAAGTGGATAGGACACACATTGAGGAAAGCACCGAACTGCTTCACAAGTCAAGCCCTCACATGGAATCCTCAAGGCCAAAGGAGGAGAAGAGGAAGACCAGAGAGTACATTACGTTGATAAATGGAGACAGACATGAGAAAAATGAACAACAATTGGATAGAACTGGAAAGGAAGGCTTAGGACAGAGTGGCTTGGAGAATGCCGTTCGGCGGTCTATGCTACATTGCGAGTAACAGGCGTAATTAAGTATCGTATACTGACTGTGGCTAGACAAGATACTGAAGTTAGAACTGTAAACTGTGAGATAACAAATCAACAGTCTATAATTAATGCTATTTGAAAGAAGCCTGAATATTCTAGATTCTGCTCCTTAGGAAGTAGTGGTTATTAAGAACTAAGGAGTCCTGTGAGAGAATTAAAACAGCTATTCAGTGCTTCCTCGTTTTCAGTGGTTATCTAGTTATATGCGTAAGCAAAATATTACTTGTTAAACTCTGACGAATGGTAAGAAAAATATTAAAAATTCGACTAAGCTACAAAGGTCTCTAACAAATAGAATTGTTAGAAATGTATTAGATTATGGTTTGAATTATTTTTCTGGTTAGCATATGGAACTCAAAACAGCTTTCAACCAATATCGCAGTGAGAATCTTCAATACGAACGTCAAGGCAGTTTTACTGTACGGAGCTGAAACTTGGAGAACTACAGCGACCATCATCAAGAAGGTACAAGTATTTATAAATGGTTGCCTACGAAAGATACTCAACATCTATTGGCCGGATAACATCAGCAAAACCATACTGTGGGAGAGAACAAACCAGCTTCCAGCTGAACAAGAAATTAGAAAAACATGATGGAAATGGATAGGACATACATTAGACAAATCATCAAACTGCATCACGAGACAAGTCCTAACTTGGAATCCTGAAGGGAAGCGGAAAAGAGTAAGGCCGAAGAACACATTACGTCGAGAAATAGAAGCAGATATGAAAAGGATGAATAACAACTGGAAAGGATTGCCCAGGACAGGGTTGGATGGAGAATGCTGGTGAGCGGCCTATGCTCCTTCACAAGGAGTAACATGCGTAAGTAAGTATTAGACTATGGAATATTCTACAATTTACATTAGACAGAGTCATTTTTATATAGAAGAGATGATTTACAAGTTGGTACAATTCATTAGTAAGCGATCTACCAAATTGTGCACTTCATTTCAAGGTTTATTTTTACACTGATAAGCTAAGCATATGAGTAACCATGACGAGACATTATCACTATACAATTCTTGATTGGCTGACATCAACTCATATAGCTTAGATAATTTATCACTCACAAAGTAGTAAGTTATTTAAAAGTTGACAAACAAGTGGAACTGTAGTGAATAAAATCACAGAATTGAAGATTTGCAAACTAATTCTTAGGACTCCAATTTATTACTCATTTTATTCACTATTCAAACTAAAATAAACGTTAAGTGGTATTGATCATTATTTCATAAAGCGCTAGTCTTCATCTAATCAATCAATTGTGTGAAGTCATGTTCATACAACTCAGTGATAACATCCTTGAAAGGGAAAATAAATAACGTATGCTGAAATTTATTGGAAAGAGTCAATTCATCCAGAAGATTGATGATACATGTCACACAGCATGAAACTTTAGATTGCGAATCTGTGTTGTGTTAGGCGATTATAGGATTCTGGTTCAGATATACAAGCTTGTTATATACAAACCCAACCTAGTACTTGAATAGTAAGGCTAAGCATAGATAAGAAGCTGTATTAGAAAACCTAACCGAAACGAATACAAACTCAGAATTTGTATATATGTGTCCATCGGATAATCGAGCCAACTCTAACTAATAACCAAAGATGGATAGTGGCTATCAGTAGAATCCAAGACATATGTTTCACCCTATTTAAAACTTGTCAGCTAAATGTACCTGTATCCTGAAACACTCATTCTGGATTTCACTGCTAGCCACCATCCATTTCTGCTTATAATGCTTGTGACTTATCGAGGCAATCCGTACCGGATGAACATATTACCAATAAGTGAATGATCAATTGCAGTCAATGAGGAGATTCAAATAAACAATACAAAATGAATTCTAACTAATAACGTTCATCTATTTTAATAATACATATATCATTTGATCTTGAACTAGCATGTGACATTATTGCATTGGCCAGGGTTGTCGATTTTTATCTATGGTTAGTGAATAATGAATTCTATAACATTTATACTCCAATTACTTTGATAGATATTAAATTGGAAACAAAAATATTCCCTAATCAATATTTTCAAATTTAATCGATTTTCTTTCGTTAGTTAAAACTTCGATTTATCTTTACAAAAATCGATTGGAATTAATGATTTTAACCGATTATGTAATCGATTGTAGGGAAGAGAGATAGATAGAGAGTTAATATTATTGACTTACTGAGATCAAAATTATTTACCAGGATATTTTCTACGATCTTCGAAGTTGATTTAGATAACTGATCACTATGTGATATCAATTGCATGTTATAGTTGGACATAGTGGGATGTTTTACAAGTACCTAGTGTACTGTGTGATCGATAAACAAATGCACCAATGACAGTATTAACCACCCACAATCACTTATACTGTTCAGCGAATATAATAGATGACTGAAAAAGTAAGATCCATGCTTCGTCAAAACTAAAATGGTATTTAAATGATTGCATTACATTCTACTGTGTTTATCAATTTATATTTGTGTTTGGCCATGTATACATAAGGAATAGCAATAGTAGTTTGGAGATCACAGACTTTGAACAGAAACAAATAAAATCAACTGGTCCAATAAGAGCAGATGATAAACATTCATGATCCTCAATTGCTAAGCACAACAGAAATAAGTCATATGGTTGATCTGAAATCAGTCTTTGTGATTTTGTACTAATATATCTAAGATGTATACTTAAGTTGATTGAAGCCTTGTTCACTTGAAAATTCAAACTGTGATATATATTCAAAACATTTTGGCCCCATTTTATTATCTACCCTAGTAATATTGATTAACATCCAGAGTGGTGACTTTCATATTATTTTCTTTATTAACGTTGTTTCGTTTTAA